TGGAGGACTTTTTGGTGGAGCTAACCCGCATTTGGGTTACATCGAGAGGAAGACCACGAGAACCTCCCACGGTTAGCCTGATGACAAGGTGACTCTAACACATGATCCGTCTACCACTGAGGATATTTCGTGTCAGCACTGTGGTCGGTGCAAGCCGGATGCGGAATTCGTATCTACTGGGATTTGAAACCCGTTAGCCTCATTGAAAGGCGAGCGCTCTATCCCCTGAACCATGTAAAAATTACGTTATATCAGATTTTTCTTATTCCGTATCATGTTTCAGTAAAAATGGATTTTACGGTACGACTGAGAACACCGGCACCCAGAACTACAAGGCGCGAAAGTATACCGGAACCCTGAGTGCCGGCACTTTTTGCTGGAATTTTTTACAGTCCATTAAATAATATACTAAAGAGTAATTTACTAAAGAGTAATCAATCTAAACACTCTATTACGCAAAAAAAATTAACAATTATTATGATTTATATGGAAAATATTTTAATTTCTTACATAATTTTCGTTTTGTAAGCAATTTCACTATTTGTCAAAAAAAATACAAATCTTTTATTCACATATGCTTTGAAATTAAATATATTACGAAACTACTCTAAATTTTGCAAAAGGTAAAAAAATAATTGAAGTTCGCGTAAAGCGTTGCATTGTGCTTAAAAAATTAACAAGAGTTATTTACGACTTCTCACATTGACCTTCCAGCATTAATTTTTCGATGCATTTCTAATAATTATATTGTAGTTCTAAATGCTCATTAACGGATCGAAAAAAGCAATAATTTTCCCTCTACAAACAATGATTGCATATAATCATGAAATAATATATAAATAGTTAATGGTTGGAAAACTAGAATACACAATAAATGTAAGTGTAATAATAAGTCTTTTACTATTTATTACGATATGTGTTTATTTACATTCAATTTCCTTCAGAGAAGCCTTCAGAAAAACCTATAAAAAGAAATAACTATGCTAATTCAGCAAAATTTATTAACATAAAAAGAATCTGTTAGTAGAATCAACGAAAACAGCTCCGATTTTCTTTAACTCCTGTTTAAATCGTTTTTCCGATGTTATAACTTTATTTGTCAAAATAATCTGATTTATTTTATTTCGCACCATGTTAACAAGAATTATAAAACTTCTTTGATTCAAAAGCATTATTTGTTGTTCGAATTCTCATGATTTTATCGTTCTACTTGTTGGTTATTAATGCAAAACGGATCTGAAGTAGCCGCCGCCCAACTAAGCTAAGATTTCTTCTGGTGCAATAATGCTTTGCATAAAAGTATTCGAAAGATATGATTTCCCAAAGGGACCATACCCACGAAAATTACAACTCACGTAATGAGAAAGAAGGCGTGTTTCTAGATGATGCATTTCTTTTAAAACAAAATGGAATATTCAAATATGTGAAAATAAATATTATGCTCCAATTTACACTCTCAGAAACTATTAATTGTTTTGCTAACTTAACGAAGTAATAAATAAATCAATTTTTTTCTGCTTGTTTATTAAGGGAAACTCAATAATAAAATGACGTTCAATTCCCGATAACAAAAAATATAACAATAAAATATGTCTGCAGCGAAATGAAATAAATGAAGCATGCATTTTTATCAGGCAAAAACTTTCCGCATCGATTTGGGCTCACTAGCTAGTAGAAAAGTGGTCGAAATTGCGATTTCATGATTTCTCCCTCACATACGAGATTTTGAGTAAATCAAAGGTTGTTAAAGTACTGAGAAAAAATGTCTACCTTTACTAAGTGTCAACACAACCAAAGGTAATAAGCACCTAGTATTATTTTTACTAATGTTTGCACAGTAAAATAAATAATAATTAAGCTGCGGATTTTTTTTTTTTTTTTTTTTTTTTTTNTTTTTTTTTTTTTTTTTTTTTTTTTTTTTTTTTTTTTTTTTTTGCATCACATTTTTTAACGTATCTTGGATATTTTCACGTTGCTGACTTCATATCTGAAATCGGCGGTTTCTCTCTCCAAGCTATAATGCAATATGTTGAAATTAGTTTTGCTTCTAAAGCTACAAATTTCTCTTAATAATATTTTAGTCTATTTTTTGTCAAAATGTGCGAAGTTCGAAAAGATTATATATAACAGGGTAGCAGAAATGCTGCGACAAACTTGTAGCGGAATTAAGGCACAGAATCAGAATTAAAATTGCATAGAAACTCATCCCCGGAAGCGACCTCATACGCCGCTAGTGGTGCTTCCCCTATTGTAAACTGTTTATTTGTGTGCTTCGATCTGAACAAGTCATAATAAAGAAGAGATCTTAGCCGCTTATTTCGACATCTCCGGGCATTGATTCCTATGCACTTTTAATCCTGATTGTGTGTCCTAACTCCCCTAAAAGTTTATCGCAACATTTACGTAGTCCCCTGTTTTGTGTATCGTTTTTAAACTTGGCAATTCGAAAAAAAAGTCAAAAATTTAATTTTAAAAATAAATTTGTAGCTTTAGGAGCAAAACTCATTTCATAATTGAAAGCCTCATATATAAATTCAGCAAAATCAAACATTAGGATAGATAAAGCAAAAAAGCTTTNTTAAAAAAAAAAAAAAAAAAAAAAGAATTTCTCCATTTTTATTTATACGCAGCATATTAAAAAAAATGATTAGATGTAAAATTTACATTTGAAATCAATGCCATTGCATTTTGTAATAACAAAATATGTGATTTATGTAAATTTGGTGAGACGACTTTGACCAACCGTGGCAATGACCACTTTATCCTTCTCCATGCTATTAAAAAATGTATGGTTGAAAGCGAAAAACGTAAACCAATGGCATGCATGCCATTAGGTGGAACACTAACACAAGAGGTACTTCGATGGCATGCGAGAAGTACATATTAAAATACTTTTGTTCCTAGCATTCACTAAAAACAGCAATTCAAAATAATATTTATAAACTCTAATTCTAGCTTTGATTTTGGGTGCTATTACGGTATTTTTCAGGACGTATAGCTACTGATTCGTGTCCCCTCACGTTGTTGAGGACACAGACTTTCTTTTGGAAAGTAAGTGAATGCGAGTAATTTTAAAAAGAGAACCGCCACTAAAGGCACGGAAATTTGGCCCTCGATGGCCAACTTAACTCAGTCACCTTTCAAAATTATCTTGCACAACCTATAAACTTTAATGGTAACCAAACCAAATACACAGCACAACTCCCACAATATTCACGGGGAAGTTATTTGATTTCAATTTTAATTATTTTTAAGAGGCGTCTGCGATATTGTCAAAATTCTTTTGTATTGAATTTTAGTTATAACTTAAAATCTGACCGGCTGTCACTAAATCACACAAGCAAACAGTTTGCATTAGCGAGGGACATTTTAGCACGGTAGGTAACAGAAGTATTAAAATTATTTCCATGCTAGGAGATAAGATAGAAAACTGATTAGACATACACGCATAAATACTTAATGTATAGTTTTTAACACTACATAAATTAAGACAATCTAACAAAATGAATTATAACTATATATTATGCTATAGTGCCCATAGATGGCGCCACTGGAAAACAAGAGCAATCGTATCCCCTCGCTGCCTAAACAGGCATACGTCAACGACATGCTTTAGTGTAGTTTGTTGCCAATAGAATCACGAAATCGGTATTTTACTGCTCACAATATATTATGCTATATATTATGCTATAGTGCCCATAGATGGCGCCACTGGAAAACAAGAGCAATCGTACCCCCTCGCTGCCTGAACAGGCATACGTCAACGACATGCGTATCCGAACATAATTTCCTTAAAAAAAGTATACCATATTATTTAATTTTTAGTTTAATAATAATAGTTTTTTTCTAACTGTAAAGTAAAGAAATTTTAACATCAATTTAAATTATGTAATGACGATTGTAGTAAGTGGAAGAGTTTCTGAGCGATATAAACTTTATCATGTCATGAAAAATTGGTCTATTTTTTTCAATTCAATATGTTTATAATCATTTATTTAATTTTATAAATAATAAAATAAAATATTGTATTTTATATTAAATATCTTTGGAGAAACAACTTTTTAAATTAAATGATTTTTTTATAATTTGCTTAAATAAAGTCACAGATATAGTGAAATATGCAAATAATGAAACTAAAAAATATAGAACTCAAACTTTTTACCGTCATCCTGTGAATCCACATTTTCTAGATTTCGAGTATCTACATATTTTTGAGGTCAAGAATCATTATCCTTTAAAAAATAAAAACTATTTTTTTAGAATATTTTTTAAACCGAATTTTTAACTAGAAATATCGTCTCTCTATAAATCAATTCATTGAAATAGACACTACTATATTATACTTACATTAGTATGTAACCCATTAGCATTTTTTTTTCAAATGAACAAATTTTTCTCACCTCTTTATTTTCTTATTTCCTAAATATTATCAAATCGCAGTACATGGATTGAATATTTAAAATTTTTAAATCAATCTATTAATTATTGAGCTGCTGCCTTTTGAATAATTTGAATTTTTTTTTTTCTATCTTTTGTTTAAACAGTAAACAGTTAAACAAAACACGTGGAATTTGGGTTTATGTTTTTAGGATCAATATTTTTTTAAAAATTCATATCCTTAATGACAAGAAAAAGTCAGAAAACATTATTTTGATCTGTTGCACATAAGCTCTATCAATTAACTATCGAGCTGAAAAAATATCTGCGTATCCTTTCCCTTTATTCAAAAGGAATCACCCTTCGGAGGTGAATTCTCTTCTCAAAACTGCATTGCCGCATGTATGAAAATCAGTCCTTCAATCAAGCTAGTATGAATGCAACTAATGAAACATTTACTCAAAATGTTCGGGAAATATTGTTTAAAAGTAAATAGAAATATGCGTAAGTATTTTTTTTTTCTAAATTTAATTTCAGAACTTGTAACTTTTTCTGTAATAAACCTCAGACTATCTTCCTTTCTTTTCTTTTTTTTTTGTGAAAGAGACATATACAACTAGTCTCAGGTCTAATCTGGCAGCTGTTTCATTACGGTGCTAGTTACTGCTCTAAATGTTTTAAACTTTTGAGTTTGAACAGTTTCTTGGCATATCTTGTTTATACAACTATTTACGAACGATATTGAATGGAGAAATTTTAGTATAAACTGCAAGGTCTAAATTTTGAAAATACCTTCTGTAATTGTAGTGGCATATCAAAACTAAATTTAATTTTATATAATTCTCTGACATGGTCTGAATTTTAGTCTATTTACTTCTTTTCGTAGAAATGCAGTTTTATAAATATTTAACTTCGTTCTAACATTTTATTTACTAATAGTCGCAATGAGTTTATTGAACTTACCTGATGATGTGTTAGAGAAAGTGTTATCATATATTAGTTATGATGAAGTCAGTCGTTGTAGATTGGTGAGTTTAAAACTTACAGAATTACGAAGAATATATCTAATATTTTTATGTGTTTAGTAAAATAATTTCTTTTTGTTTCGTATTACAATATAAGTTAAGTTCCCATGCTGTTCTAAAAGCTATTAATTTCATTCACTTTAAATTTCTGAGATATATATGCACTACAAACAAAGTTTTACGGCTTTTGTAGTATTTTCTACTGTTAATGAATTGTATTGTCTATTTATCTAAACCGTTACCAATTGCCCATACTGTATTTATAAAGTGACCACATTTTTATTGAGACAAAGCGGGACAAGTGGGATAAAATGAGAATTACAATTTAATCAAACTTTCAACACGCACAATATATATATAAAAATACGAATAAATGTTTGCAAAAATATTTTAAACATCAACTGGAAGTAAGTCAGATGCTGTTTGAATAGTATAGGTATAGAATGTGCGTTGCACAACCTACTCCAATATTTTTTTGCTTCAAATGTTCGTTAAGTTTCGTAAAAACGTTATTGATGCCTCTTTTAGCTTTTCCACCAAATTTTACGTTAGTGTTATCAGCACAATGGGCAATAATTTTATTGTTTAAATTATTCTTTTTTAAAATAGTACTTAATAAATCAAAAATTATTTGTGAAGTTTCATCAGGCAATGAAACAAAATCTAATATTCTAATTTTAATTCCTGTTTCTGGATCAAAAAATCTAACACCTGTGGGTAATAATTTTAAATCTTTGTGGTTGGAAGCATCAGAATATATGGATATAAATGCGCATTTTTCTAATTCTTTCTGCAATTGTGAAAACGAATATGGTGAAAAAACATTACAAATAATTGCTTCGGTTTTTGTCCTTGCGCATGCATATTTTTTGTCGTATAATGTTTTGATCACTTGCGACGTACAATCCATTGATCTGAAACTTTGATTGTGGTTTATGGTGCGGAATGCAAATAGCCCTTCCGCTAATGCTAGCTGTTTTTCCGTGTTGCTAAAGCTAGCACTGCGAAAAAACTGTTCCATTTTATATGAGGAAGCGACATTATTAAAAAAATCTTTTGTGCCTCTTTGTCGCTAGATGCTTAGTAATATCGTTTTTTCCACCATGTGAGACCCAAAGTTCAGCATTGTGTTTATCAGACAGTACCATATAGTCTATTTTGGCACTTAATAAATGGAATTTTTTGGCACTAATAAATGGAAATTCTCTGCTTAGCTCTTCATTAAATTTGAATCCTCTTTTTTTACTCATCTTTTATTTTGTGGGTAAATACTAGAAATAAATAAAGAAATTATTACAAAGGCTAAAAAAGAGTATTAAATTTTACCTTATTGACCGTTACTTTGTGGCGACTATTGCTCAACCTTTGTCAATCAAATAATGAGTCAAACCGAACGTCAAATTGAGAACAACAAACCGCACTGTCTAACGGCAGTCCGCACTTATCTGAATTAAGCCGAGACGTAAAGACAATGATAGCACACCACCGAGTAAATCTAACTTGGTACATTGCCTAATTTAGTTTACTCTGCACGCATTTTATGTGTTTTTTATGTATTTTTTATTTCTTTATATTCACCACAATACTTAATAAATAATAGGAATATATTTTTACAGTACATTTAAAATAAGAAATGCAGATATTTTCTAAAAAGCGGGACATTTTTAAAAATCGGCGGGACGCGGGACAGTCCACCAAAAAGCGGGACGCGTGGTCACTATGTTTTTACGACATCAACAATCAAAGCTAACAAGTAGTGCTAATTTTAGAACGAAATTCGTTGCGGGCTCCTTTTTTGAACAGTAAAAAGTGTAATTTTCTTATGTTGTAAACTTTTTAGAGCATTCTTTTGAAAATGGTAATTTGTCTTTCATACTTGAAATATCTATTTCATAATCACAATCTATTTTAAATATTTTTTTATTTTAGTACTTATTTCTACTGAAGACTTAATATTACCTGATTTCTGTCATAATAATATGCTTTAAAAGGAAGATTTCTGTTTCAGTATTTACACCGGGATATTTCTGTATCATGGTCTGTCGCGTGAACTACAACCGCCAATGTGCCAAATAGATTTTAAACTTAATTATATTTAAAAAAAGACGTGTAGATGTTTGCCCAAGGGTGGCTACAAGTTCTAATCGTAATTTCAAGTTCGTCTTTTTCTGTGATTTTTTTTTTTTTTTTAAATTTAGTTTCTCACAGGTTGCTAACTGGAAGTTGCCAAGTTTTGCTATCACTCGACCATAGATCACAATATGGAAATGTCCTCTTTACGCCATAATAATCACCAAGTTTTAGTAACTTCGAGGCATTAGACTGCGAGGGAAGAAACATTATAGATGAGGACAACTCAAAGAGTACAACTTGTAGCCACCCCAGGAAAAAGTCTATATGTTTTGCATTTTAAATTTCAAGTTTAAATTCCCTAGTGCCATGGCAATTGTTGTTGTCATAGGCAGTTCAGATATGAAGATATCCCTTATTTAATACGAAAAATTCTTTCACTAAAATTGTGGAGCATTACATATTCAAATTATTTTATATTAATTTTATACATTTTTCTATAAACGTTTAAAAAAATTATAAAGGTTAATATGCAAAGGGTTGGCAGGATTTTGCCGCAGGTGGAAAAAACCAGGATAAAAACCGTCCTGCAAAAACAGGTTTTTGCCAAGCAAAGTAGCAAAAACCTATATTTTCCAAGATGAGAGGACAAAAACATGTTTTTGTTAAAAAATTATTCCTAAAATTGAAATATATAGTATAAATATATATAATTGACAAAGATTAACAAAATTATTGTTCCATAATTAAATCATAATGTATTAATATATCATTTTAGTAGATTAAAACATTATTGATCGGAAAATTAGTGATTCTCTTTTTTCCAGTGAAATGAACTTATTTTAAATAATATAACTGTAATTTAAAGCATAAAATGTCTATCAACATGTGTAGTTAATTAAAATATGCAAGTTTCAATGCAATTTTTTAACTTAGCGCGAATTCAATACTTATTCATCATCACAATACAATTTGTGCTGTCTCAACATAGCATAACAGAACACTAGTTTTGAAACATTATTTACAGTCAACCTATTCCGAATTTTAGAATGTACAAATGAAAAATTCGAAAACAATCTTTCAATGGCAGCAATACTGGAAGGACATGAGTGTAAATGAGACATTAATTCACAAAATTCTCTGGAGATTTCACAAGAATTTTGCACACTCCACCACCATTTACTAGCATCAATTGTGGCTATGACCTGCTCTGAGAATAATGTTTTAGGGAATGGTTTTTCTTGTAATTCAAAATTCAAGACATATCAAACTAATGAGGGATTTTTCCTGCAAGAAATTCTCTGTCCTTCTCTTTCTGTACATTGCTGAGAGGCTACCCTTTATATTTTGGGTGTAATATGTATTCTGCTGTCTTTTTGTGGGCTCCTGCATTTTCTACATCAACAATGTATGCTTTTCCATCAACTTGAGCACATGATGCAGTTATAGGTTCGTTGTGTATGTTACTCCACCCATCAACATCAAGGGTATCTTCTTTACCTTTGAAGCTTTCATCTATTAAATTTTCTAGTTCACAGTAAACTGAATCTAGAAGGGCACCTGATAAATATTTACGTGAAGGCAATTTATAACTTGGTTTAAGATACGAATTAAATCATGAAAAGCACAACTTTCAACAACATTAAATGGTATTCCACATGCATAAAAGAATTTTGCCACAGTTAGATCAATTTTCTTTTTCTCCTTTTCTGAAGTTTTTGAAGCAACCCTAACTACTGTTTTTCCTTCTAACAGTCATTCTACAACCTTCTAACAGTCTGTTTTTTTAAAAGGGGTGAAGGCTCAACATCTTAGATTTCTAAATGAATGCATCTCTTGTTCTGATTTGAATTTATCTCTGTTGGTATTAGAGATGGAGAATTAATTTCTGAAGACTCATTTGTAACTTTTTTCATACAAATTGGAACATGCTTCTTCATTTTCTCAGTTTTATTACTTTGAATTCTTTCACAATTTTTGCCTTTTGCAACTATTTTTCCATCAACACTTAATCTATGGAAGTATTCCCAAACTGAATCTTGTCTCCTTCCTCCTTTGTCCATTATTTCATACAACTATCTGAGAATTCCCTTGCTGTAGCCAAGATTAAAGGCTATTTGCAAAAAAATGATAGAAAAAAAGGAAGTTGTGTAACAGATTTCCTAGAACTAACTTGTGCTCCTCAGTGATTGAAGGAAAAACTTGCTGATCTGATTGGTTACCTGTGATTGGTGCTAGACACTTGTGTGGATAGGGTGAGATGAGTATAGCTAATACCACCCACCTTTTTTGTGTGAAGTCAAAGGGAACTCGTTTGTGAGTGAAAAGGATCAAGGGAATTTAAATTGTGTGGTTTTATTTGCATTTTCGGTTCCCAGTCGATCACCGAAATCAAGCATCACTGGCTTCAGTCAAATTGCATGACCATTTGGATTAATCTGCGTAGGGACCGGGGGTGTGCGCTACTGGTCCTCGTTAAACTGTTCTACCGTAAAGTGCTGGACTTCGCGTGCAGGCTGTTGGGCTACCGAAGCTGGGGTGCCATCCCCTCTGCAGAGGATCAAAATTGTGATGACATGTCTTCGGATCATCCTCAGGGATGTTTCCCAGACCGTCGCCAATAGCCCATTGTGTCGCTTTAGTGCAATTTAAATGAACTGCAACAAAAAAAAACTGCGTGTGGGAAAATATTAAAACAATTTTCAGCACACCATCCAGTTTCTATTGTGAATGCTTTCTCGGTAAGCTCTACTGTTTGAGTTTTCATGTAGCTATTAGTAGATTAATTTCTGCACTTTGTTGAGAAGCTCTGCTGGCTAAATCTCTAAAATTTGGTGTGACACAGAATATTTTATACCATTACACTATATATAATCTTAGTTGCAAATTTCAGCTAAAAAAAAAATTGCCCTTCTAGTAGAATGCTTTAATGATGTGTTTTTTAAACTCAAATATTCAACTTCACTATTTTGCTTGCATTTATTCTATAATGCACTCTACATAAAACTTTAATTGTGAATAAACTAAATAATAAAACTTTAATTGTGAATAAACTAAATAATTTTTTGCATTTAAATTTGTAGTTTTAAGCATTGTTCACTGTGAAACATATATTATTTATTCAGTGAATGATATTATTTGATTATATTTTTATAGGTTTGTCGTAGAATTAACTATGTCTGTAAAAGAGTTCTGAATAGAGGATTTCATAAAGTTGAAAAGTACCATGCCCAGTGTTTGCGCCATGTTAAATCGCAATTACCAAGGCGGGAATCTGAACGGAGAAAGCATCCACTGGCTCGACATTGTGATATATTAACAGCTGTAGAAACACGCTTGTCTCTGTTGGGAATGACCTTTTTGAAATATATGGAAATGAATCTTTGTTGCTTTATACCTGGAAAGGTGTGAACATAAAGTATCTTTATTTTTTACATTACCTATTTATATTGTATGTGTGGTCACTAAAGGAAATCTCTTTAAAGGATTATTGTTAGTTTAATTTTTTGAAGCAGAATTTTTATTCCCCAATTATTGATATCCCAACTGATTCAGCGTTATGAACTGGTACAAGTTCCCAAAATTAAAACCTTTAATGGCTCACTTTTGGCTAATAACACACTTTTGAGATGAAGCAAGCAATAGTGTAACAAATATGTTACTCAATTGCTGCAACGTAATCTTTAATTTTTGATATTATAATGTTAAATCTTTTTTATAGTTTTGAACAATGTGTTTCAAATCTTGGCTAATTCTCAAAAAATAAAAAATTATGTAAAAAATTATAGTCCAAAAAGTTTTTTCTTTGCACAATTATATCTCAAAACATTCAATTGTTACCCCGTTAATTGAGTTTCGTGAAAATGTAATTTGTGAAAGATAGCTCAGAAGTAGAAATTAATTAATTTTATTTTCTTGGTATGTGAAACTTTCACATTAATGAATATTTAGATTTTAATTTTCTTTACTTAGAAAAAAATAAAAACAAGAAAACAATTTAAAGTAATGCTATGCATAACACTCCAACAAGGTTTGTAAAACCATTGTATTAAGGTTACTAAATTAATTTATTTTTGTATCATTTTTAAGGTTTTGGATGAGATCTATATAGTTCTGAGGTCTGTAACATCTGAGCAAACTCCAGTTAGGGCTCACGAGGTTTTACAAGAATTGCGTGATTTATCATCTATGGCGATGGAACATTTTGATGAAAAAATTTCACCTGCTTTTAGAAAACGTAAAGAAACTGGTCCAAAAATTATTACAGGACTCAACATTTTCTCTCGTGAGTTTTTCTTTTCTTCCTCTTCCTTTATCATTGTCGATTTACTTATTTCAGTTAGTGACATTGTCAAATAATTTAAATACTTACTTATAGGTTTTATTTCCTTACTTTTCATTGATCTGCTCTTTAAAATTATGTGATATATTTTTTGATATTTACATTTTTCTATGTAGTAAATAAAGAAGCTAGTTAAATAATACAAGTTTTGAAGTGTAAAAATAATTTCAAAAATTTTTTTAGTACTTTTTTGCAATCTATATAGGTTAATACTGCATGCTGTTACATAACAAATGCTTTAATTATCTGAGTGAACTAGAAAAGTTTATTTTACTTCATTCAATATTGTTTGCCAAAGTCATAAATAGAAACTAGAGATGCTGCCAGTTATGTTGATGTATTTGTCAATAATTTAAAAAAAAAAATTTAAAACCATTAAAAAGTACAAAAACGTATGTCCTAAAGAAAGTACAGTAGAGCGCCGATTATCCGAACTGCTCGGGACCGAACGTGGTTCGGATAATGAAATGTTCGGATAATTGGAAAGTTGTTTAAAACCTAGTTTAAATGATTATTATTTATGCACCAACTTCCCTTCACACTTTTTCTAGGCTTAGTACTGGCAGTACTATCTAAAATAGCTCTGGCGAGTTTAAGACTTTTATTTTTTCAATTTTTAAATATATTTTTTTAAACTTTTCTTTTAAATTTGAATAATTTTTTATCATATTTCGGCTTTTTTATAATTTTTTTTGTCAATTACTGATTTTACAAAATTTTTCTTTATTTTCCATTGCAAAAGATATCCAGCAAAGACTTTTGTTTCAAAGAACATGCTCTTTTTTGTGCAGCCTTTTTAAATAAATCAACTGAATTGGATCAACATCATTGTGACATTCTAGGCAATTCATTTCAATATCTAATTAATTTCATGCTTCTTATGAGAAGGTCCACGATCTTGAACTTGATCACGTACTTCTTCCTCTTAATCTTAGGAGTTCCGATTTTCATTCAAAATTTCAGAAACAATTTCATGATCATTTAAAATTTGAAATCCTGAGTCGTTTTCAGTGTCTGGACACCAGTCTTCTATTTCTTCTGCTGTATAACATGGCATATTTCACCCGAAAGATCTACCGATTCACAAACTGCAGTTTTGTTTGTTTTTCTGATAAGAATTTTATTCCAAGATTTAAGATTTCAAGCACTGTAATCACTAATCATTAACCATGAGTGACAACTACCCATCCCCCAATTGTGGAATTTCGGCACTTATCTATTCATAAACACATTCCGCTTTCCAACAATTGTAGATTGTCAAAATGAAGCTCGCATTCTTTGATGATAATTTTCAGTTGAAGAGGGCTAAAGGGGTATGCAGGTTTAACTGTATAACAATACATGTATGTATGGCTACTAGAAGAAAACTGCTGAAAAAAGTTGTAAATTAAATATGGTCTTCAGATGTAGTGGATATTATCTATTCCTCTAAATTTAGAAAAATTGTCGATAAGTTAAAAAAAAATTCTAAACTTAAAAAAGAGAAGAAAAAAAGCGAATTCGGACATAGTTCGGATAATTGGACGTTCGGATAATCGGCGCTGTAATTGCAAGTGTATTTTACAATTGCTATTACATAAGTATTGTTTTTATCATATAATACTTGTTCAAAAGTATCTTTTTCTGCTCAAGAATGGTCATGCTGTTGTTCCATCAATATGTTTTTGTGATTGCGAGTAATCAATTATAAAATACCGAATACTATAATTTTAATTACTTGCACATTTTATTTTTGAAACTTCCACTTAGTGAGACTTCTCATTCAAGTGTGCTTCACTTATTGTATGTTCTTAGAATAATTTTCATATCATTAGTTACTATTAAAACATTTGATTTCATTATTTATATTAGTTATTGTATTTTTTCAGGTATTTATTTATTTTTTGGTGCACATTGTGTATTTTTAAATGCAATTATAATAAACCGTGGTGTGCCAGTTATCAATCATGTCCAACTCTTAATCGTCAACTAGATTAGTGCTGGAAGTGAGACTTGGCCCACATGCTGTAGTTAGGAGATCCTTGATCTAAATCATTGAGAAAGAGAGGGCAACAATTAAAAAAAGAATGTACTTTTGCAATTCTGAGACAGGTGTTTTAATGCTTTCGTGATTTGGGTGAAGTTTTTATTTTATGTTTAAAAAGATTATAGTAAGTAATTGAGGTTTTGTTGTTGTACTAATCTGTTTTGAAATTCACTTTCTGTAGAAATCAAATTTTTGATATCAAATGGCAGAATATATTACAAAATTATATTTGACAAATAATAAAATTTGTTTTTGATTTATTCCACTTAGCTTAATTTAAGTGAATTTATGTAATGACAGAAAAAAGTTTATTTTTGTTAATAGTTGCCTGTGTGCCAAAGGTTTGCTATTTCTTACCTTTCTTTCATTGAATGCACTAATCTCATTTAATTTTTGAATTTCTATAGGCTTACTCTTTGTAATTTTTGTTACCTAATAAATGTTTGCACATAAAGTCAGGATTAATGTATTTTGGTTTACTACAACTTTTTTTTGTAAATTTTTCTTTAAGAAGAACAATGTGTCATTAATCATATCTTCTTTACTTGAAGATTTCTCTCGTATATTCTCTTTGTCGAGCCTCCTTCCCACTTTTGTGATTCCTTTCAAGTCAAAACTCAAAATCCATGTCTTTTTTTATTTAGTTCTTCTCATCTGCTGTCCATTTAAAAATACTTACAAACTTTTCCTTATTACGCTATACTTATATTATTATCCTATGAGTCTGTCTTTTTTTTCTTTAAAATTATTCATTTTCTTTTTTATAGCCTTATTGTTAGTAATTCAATTTTGGTTTAAATATGTCAGTTCTCTGGAGAAATTAATGAAACATTTTTGTAAATAGTTATTGTAGTCCGTGGATCGAGATTCAGACAGAAAGTAAAAGTTTATTAACAAAAAGCAAACAAACACATACAAATTTAAAAAGAACGCCATCTGGCGGTATAAAAAGAAAAAGACTTCGTAGCTATCCTTCCCAGGGAATGACAACAGTTATGTATTCAAATTAAATGGAACAGTGAACTTATTTTTGTATCACTCTGTCAATTTAATTATTTTTAATCACATAATTAAATGAAAATGTCTCGAGTTTTCCAGATATGATCTAATATTTGTAACTTTTGTACAAGTATGATGTTGTGATTTCACGTCCATTTTCATTTGGAGAACACAGGTTATTATGTTATAGTGTCAAATGTAGGGAACTCAAACTATTTGCTTATGAAAATCAGTTTGATTTTGGAAAAGAAAATCACTTGAGATTCCAGTGTAACTGTAAGTTTCTCAAGACAGATTAAAATAATTAGAAGAATATACAGTATAGGACCCCAAATCCGGCACTCGCGGGACCGACGAAATTCCGTATTTCGGAATTTGCTGAATTTCGGACCTCTTTTAGAAATTCCAATATGGCGCCCATGTATTACGATAATTCAATTATACTGTTAATTTCAGAAAATGAATTAATTCCAATAAATTTAGATTTCTAGTTTAGAAATCTAGTTTTGATCATAGATTATGGTGGGGTGAATTAAAAACTGTCCCATTTTTAAAAATATAATTAAAATTATAATATATATCATAGAAATAACACTATATGGATTTTTTATAAGCTAACGAATTTTTTTTTATAAGCTAACAACTAATAACAATTAAAAAAAAGCTAACAACTAAATATGATTAAAAAAACAAGCTATCAATTAACAAAAGAGAAACCAACAAATTAACAGTTTATAACTAATAAAAAAACAAAAGTATAATTTACATCCAAAAAAAAAGCTGCAAAAGGGATATAATTCATTTTATACCCCATGTGGTAGTTTCAGGGTTAAAATGTTGCGGCTAATTTATGGTCAAACTAGAGAGGGAAAAGTGGGGACAAATCAGTAGAGCACTTGCACAGCTGTCAAGATTGGTTGATCAGTTTCTTCCAACTTGCATTTCTTTACTTTGTTCATTGGAAATGCAGGTGTTTTTACTTTTCCCTTTCACTTTATTTTAAACTGCTTTAGAAACAAATGTTTCCTTTGACACAGATTTTTATTTTATTTTTAAAAAATAAAATAAAGTTACTTACTTCAACAGAATAAAATTCCAAATAAAAAGAGAATGTAGGTGATTTTTTTTCTCTTATTAATAAAAATTTTTTAAAAAAAAAAAAAAAAAAAGGATCTAATCTGATCTTTTCTTTTGTGCCGAATTTTGGGATGCCGAATTTGGAGTCCCATGCAGTATTGGGTATAAAAATACTTTTTTAAGGCTTTCTATTATAAGCTGTTTGACTATATGTATCTAGTAAAAAGTATCATGTACTTTTTGAATATCATCTTTCTTACATGATATTACACTCAATCCATGAAATATTAAATTTCCACAACAATTGTAGTTTTATTTGTCTGTTAATGTCAGTTTTAGTTTAGTCTTGATCTGGTACTTGTGTCTATTTCCAAATATTTCTGAAATCTTTTTTATTAAATAGATTGTTTTTATTAGTGATTGACAAGAAATATATCATGTAGGTTTTAGGCTTCTTGCAAGAATTAAATGCCCTGTATTATTAGGGTTACGAAGCGAAGGTAGAACAAAGAATCCTTTTTGTAAGCATGTTTTCAATAAAATTTTAAAGCATACATTTTTCTAGAAAGATCCTGGATGTTGAAAATATTTCCTTTTCTGTGTTAAATTAAAATATGTATATGTAATAAAATTGATACTTTACTTTTTTAATTTTTATAAAGGTAGGTCTTTTTTTTTTAATTGTCCTTAGTTCAGATTTTTTAAATTATTGATACTAAAAGGAAACTGAATTTTATAAAATGAAATAATCTCTATTTATGCTTGAAGTATTTCATTGGGAAATAAGGTAATTGTTTAATTTAACACCTTTTGTGAATTCAAATTTTACCATGAATTCCAGAAAAAAATGTTTTTTATTTTCCTGATTCCTTCATCTAAATTGGGAAAATTTTTCTCTTATACTATATCTCAAGAGTAGGTGTGGGCAACCTCTGTGCCCCACTGCTTTTTTTGTCAAAAATTAGTTATAACTGTCTTCTTCTGAAAAAGGTTGTGTACCCCTATTTTAGAACATGTCTCATGAACCTGTCTCACACACCCTTAATTTCTTTAACTACTAGTGCGTAAGCATTTATTAAATCTTTTTTTTATTACAATTTGCATAATTAATGATATAAAATTGTTTCTTGATTTGCATTATTTTTAACCATTATTATCTTATGTTTTCTCAACTTATGTGACTATTTATAACCTGTTGTATAGTGCTAGTTTAAATTTATCATATGTAATGCACTTTGTTCGATTATCTGTTTATGATTACTAACTTTTGCACTCTTTCCTTTATCAATCTTCGTCCTGGTGATCTAATTCTGTTTAAAACATTTCTTTTCTTTGTTATAGTTGACCTTTTTACAACAGGAAGTTATTTTTTTTTTATATATATATATACATAATAATCAAAAATATTTTATTCTCATCTATATTTATTTATACTTCTGTACTGACTGACATTTATTTTGCCAATATTTTTTTAAAAAAAGAAAACTAGCCTGATAAAAATTTATGAAGGGCATATTGCTTTTTTAAAATACATACAAATAAAATACTTAAAACGGATCTAATGGCCATATTTACACATATATTATAAGGGCTCAATAAGCAGATTAAAAAAAACGTTTGAATGCAAACAGAAACAATATGTTGTTAATAATTATATATATATATATATATTATGTTATTGTACATCCTCATATCATACAATCAGAAATAGGATGCCTGAAAATTTTAAGACATTTTGGTCTTTATTAATTTGCCGAAAAATTTTTTAAAAAAAACTTAAGTCAAAGGATTTTTAATTATTATTAATTTATTATTTACATTAGGATCTCTTATGTACTCACTTTTTTATTATTTTGCAGTTTTTATAATTAAAACCAGTAGCAGATGTGTTAAATATTATACAGAGCAATAGTTCAATGTTAGCAGATTTTTGCTTTGTACTTTTGTTGTGTACTTTGATGTAAAACCCAGAGTTCCAGAGTCATTCTATTAAAATTTTTAAAAAAAATTTCAATCAAGCAATTATACAATATTATTTTGTGTCTTACTTATTACACCATAAGTACTTATGGAAAAAAGGAAAGAATACTTGTCAGTTTCAAAAGGAATATTGATCCCATTACTTTAATTTTGTTATTAAATTTGATTTGAAAAATTGCCCTTTTTTTCAGACATATTTAATTGAATCACTTACAGTTTCCAAATGGTGGGGAACTATAATTTCTGAGTAAAATTTTGAAAACTTCTGCAACTTCATTAACACTTACAACTTTGCTGTGCTAGTCCTCCTGTATGAAAAGACTTTTTCAAATTATTCTTTGATTCATTTTGATGTAAGAATCAAACCTTCTCTTTAAACTTCTAAGCTATTATTTTCCCCAGCTATGTTTGAATGTCTCAAGCATTTAAATATCTGAATGAATGAAGTAGAATTTTAAATTTGCAAACTGTCAAGAAAAGCAAAACTGTACATTTAAGTGTTTTATTTAGTAATTAAATTATTTATTGCGCATTACAAGTCTTTGATTTAAAATTTCTCGAAGGTTTTAACATAATTAATTTTATAGTTATAAAAAGTATAAAGTCATGTTATTTAGCTTAATTCTTTAAATTTTTTCCTATTTTTACCACTTTATGCTCGGTTTTTCTTCTTTTTGTCACTAGTAAAAAGGGATTTTTGTTGGCAAAATCCAACTCTGGGCTGTATATTTTACATGATGCTAGTATTTCATGAAAAACTTACGTGCGGAAAATAACAGGCTCCTATCTAGTAAAGAACATGCATTAGTTATATTTTTTCCTTAATTTTTAAGTTGTTCCTTCAGCAAGTCTGCATATTGAAACTTTTGTTAGCAAAAGATTTTTCTTTTTTTTTTTATTTATTTAAATACTGTGGTTACTAAATTTCAAAAATATGTTGGTAGTGAGAAAAAGATTTAAATAATTCGTCATTCTAATATTTAATTCAATAATGCATAACAATTTTTCAACCAAAGAGTTATGTATAATGGAAGTTTAATTACTTTTTGCAAAGTTTAAAACTATTGAATTGCATCGGCATTTTCATGTTTTTAACCATGTTAAAATGTTATTCATGTCTTAAAAAAAAGTTTGTAAACAGTGAATTATCTCGAGAAATACACATTGGATCAAAATAAGAAAATGATAAATCAATAAGAAATAATAAATCAAAAATTGAAAATATACACATTCAATAGTTTGTAAAAACTGTCTGATCTTTATAAATAAGAGTTACAGCCTTTAATCATTAATAGTCTTTGATGTATGAATCAAAATAGTGGCGAATGAGGCATTTTAACATGCTTATAGCTTTTAAACCTTTTTACCAATTTCATTGTTATTAAAATTTTTAAAATCAGTATAAAAAATTTTATAAGTGTACACATTTTCTTCAAAATTTTGAGTGTCATGGCTGAATGAACCGACATGGAATTACCCAAATATCTATAGTTTGGTGAAACTATAATTAACTGGTAAGGTATTTTTATAAATAAAAAAATTTATACTCGTGGTAAGTAATTATTTTTTACCCCGTATTCTATTTTCAATCCTGCATTAGAATTAACCAATTGTTCCAATGTTTGTTTATTTGTGTATATCTACATAGGATTAAATTATAGGTGTTTAAATAATTGTTTAAATACATACTTTTATGTTGCAGCTCTTTTATATATTACAGCTATCCAAATTAGTTTAATTACATCAAAATATTTCTTATCATTGTAGAGTTGACCTAATATTCTTAGCTTTCTTTTAATATTATAATTGAACAAATTTAAATTCTGCTTGAAATTAGAATTTTCAAACTTTCTTAGCTGCCAAACTTTTCATTGCTGTTGTGTTTATTCTAGAATGGTTAACTTCTCATTGAAAACTTGATATTTGCAACTGTAACATCTTTTCAAAATTGTTTACCTTATTTAGTCTCTACTTTAAATAACATCCCAGTCTGTTCATTTGCTCCCAATTTAGCATCTGTGTCGCATCATTCTAAAAGTTCAGGCCGTCATTGTGCTGGAGAGCATAAAGTTCATAAATGGAGAGAAGAAGCCAAAAGTTTAGTACAGAAACAAAATGCTACAAACAAAGAGGTTCAATTTCTGAAGCAAAAGGTATAAAAATAAAACTATAACAATCTCTATTTCATGTACCACAGAGGTGCCGAACTCATATTTTTTATTGTTATGATTTTATAAAGATTACGCTCTTGCAGTTTAATAATAAATATTACGGTCTATGAGAATTGCCATAATCTGTTTAAAATAAGTTTTTCTTCCCTTAACTACCAAGTGGCAAATTTAATTGATTTCAACCAATATATGACAATTTTTTTTCTTATCCATAAACAATTTCACAAAATTAAGAAATATTAAATAAAAAAAATTGAAACAAGCTAATTTGAAACTTAATTTCTCTTTATAGAATAGCAAATTCAAATTTGAAATTTTGTAAATTTTGCCAAAAACTAAGACATTGATTCCAAGTAATCAATTTAATTTTATTATTTTATAATGAAGTGTAAAATTTCTGTCTTTTATAATTTTTGATTTACATTAAGTGGTAATTTTTCTTTTCTTTTTTAACTGTAAATTCATATATAATTTTAATAATATTATATACCAAATAGAATTAAGTAGAATATACCCCTTAACACCCACTTATATACACTAACTTGAATTTTGTGAACACTAACTGTAAACATTTCTATGTTATAATTACTGATAGCTACTTTAGAAAGATGGCACCTATAGTTTTTATATTCAAAATAATCAACATTTAAAAGCTAAATAAAATATTTAATGCTATAATGTGTGATTTTTTTAAAAATTATTTTACCTATGTTTAAAATAGTTAATTTCCAATATGTTTTTTAAAATGCTATTTTGCTTTGAAGTTGCGTAATTTTTTTTTTGTAAAGAAATTTTTTTTATTATTTAAGTACATAAAATTTTAATTCTGTGTAAAGTTATTGGATGTGCAATAAAATATTTTAATCTGAGGCGTAATATATTAGTGACACACTTTCATGCCATTTTAAAAGTTTGCCAATTCTTCTCATGAAATAATATCTATTAACATTTATTTATTTTTTATAACATAAATTCCTGAGACTTGCTTATCTCTGAGTATAAAAACAAATAGCTGGCTAACTGTCTGTTGCAAGAGAGCATTACTTTTTTAGTTGCATTACAAAATTACCTAAATGTTCATAAAATAATTGAATGTCATTCAAACTATTGCAATTTAATTATATTTTATCATTGCTTTTTAATAATTGAATAACTCATTTACTTTTCATTTATATATTAATATATCTCAATTTGTTATTAACATAAAAAACAACTTCATAATTATTCACATTTCAAAAAAATTTCTTTGTAGCTAAAATAAGAAACTAAGAAAAGCAAGAAATTTATAATCTTTTTTTATAAAAAAGAAAAGAAAAGCAGTAAGAAAAATAGCAGATCATTTCTATTTTATATGACAATTCAAGAAAATTATGCATGTAATTTTCCTGTTATGTAGTCAAGTCTATACTCAAAGTTGGGGGATAAGGGCCCAACCAAAAATCTTTAAAAAAGAAACTAATGTTTTCAAAAGATTATAAGATAGACCCAGAATTTCTTTATCTATAAAAACTACAATTTTGTACAAAGGGGTAATTCTACAATAGAAAATAAGCATTTTTTATGCTTTGAAGATAGGGCCCATTATAAATTTTGCCCTAGGTCCATAAAACCTTTGTTTAGCCTTATTATATGTAGTTTTCTTCTTCCTCCACTGCACTACAGCTTTTGTGGGTCTTGCATAAACACACATTAAGGTAGTACCCGGTTTTACCCCACAAGCAAAGATTATTGAAATGAAACAGAGCAGTGCTACATATGAGACTAAATTGTTTTTTAGGTATGAATCATTACTAAATGCATTTTTTTTGAGTATAAGCTAGACTAAAAATAATTTTTGTAACTTTAATGACCAATAAATAAGAATAGCTTAAAAACAAGAACATTAAAGAATTGACATTGTAAAACAAAAATTTTTTTGCAAGCGCAGTGAATTAATAACATACCTACCAATGTGGTTCTTTTTCTTGAAAAGTAAAATGTAATTCTAAGTTTGTCTGCTAGAAAATAAGATTAACCCTCCGACTGCTCGTCCCGCGATTTCCACAGGCAACTCAATTGTAGCAATATCTGCTCATCTCCCAATTCCGCGGGCTTGTGTTTTTCTTCCTTTATTGATGAGCGCTTCCAGTTTCAGTGGTATTAGAAGTTTAATTTACGTTTTGACCAACAGATGTCGTTAGTTGTCCACTAAATTGCCGTATTTGAAAGCGCGTAGTGTAAAACGATTTCGTAAGAGCGGAAGCGCCTTGTGTAAAGCAAATTTTTAAAGCGGCTTCGGTCCAAAAATGGAGCAGTCAAAGGGTTAATTTTGGCAAAATAGTGGTACCCGTTTTACTCTACTCTCCGTATGTATATTAAAGAAAATTTTAAAATGTGCTCCATAAAATAGCCATGTATTGTTAGTGCGTAAGTTGTTATATTTTTTATGTATAATTTTATTTGTGTGAATTACATACAAGAAAAGTAAGTCACCAGAGTCAAATATATAAGTGGTTTATGCATTGATGATGAAGCTTTACAAAAATAGTAGAGCTTTGCCTGGTACGCAGCTAAAGAATAAATACCAAATTTTGTAAACTCTCTTCTTGCTGTTCTCAATATATCGTTTGCTGTGTAATAACAAGGAAAAAACTGATTTTTTGGCACTCGAAAAGAAAAGAAAAAGCTTTTAATTCAACATGTAAGATCAAATTAAATAATTTAATTTGAAAATTTCATTCACTAATTCTTTGAGTAGGTTTCATAGCATTTTTTTTCCTTCTTATTTTAAGAAATTTTTTACATTTTAATAAAATAGATGCTTTTATTATAAATTCTATATCATACAGTTAATTTTCTGTGCATAATTTAACAAGTCATTTCTGCAATGTGTTTTGCAAGTGAGTATAGTTAATTAATATTTCTTGCCTCTATGTGAAATTTCTGAATATTTGCTTTTTTAAATTAGGAAATACTTCACACTCAAAGATTTTATATATATACCAGCCTGCTTCTATATGTAATTTATATCTTATGTTGGTGCCTTTTGGTGAACATAGGCATTTATATATGATGAATTTTCATAATACCAGCATGTCTAGTTGGGGGAATTTTTTAAACCCCTTAAAAAATTTGGAAAAAAAATAATAAAAAAAAAAATTTAATTCCTGAAAGTAGAGAGAATTTGAATTATTTTTAAAAATTGTTATAAAATTCATTCCTCCTAAGAACTTTTTTTTTACGTATGCCTGTTATAATTACATTTTCTCTTCACTTTATTATTTGTTAATCAGAGCTGTTTCCATTTATAGGTTACTGAAGTTAATAAAACTAACAGTGAACTTGAGAAGAAAGTAAATGAGTTGCAAGCTTTAGTAGCTGCCCAAGTAGAAAAAGCAAAAGAACAAGATTTGAGGTTGGATTTTTTGAGCCGGTTAATTGATGGTGGTTCCATGTCACCTTCAAACCCTAGCAATCAAAGCAAGGTTAAAAACAATTTAACTGGAATGAAATCTACGCTCATTAAGGACAATCTACGCCCTCACCTGAGGAAGAAAAGGCAGGCTAGGGTTGTAACAAATCAAACGGATAAGCCTAGGAAAAGGTTAAAACGAGGAGAATAGGTCTTATTGATGCTAGCAATTTTTTTAACTTGTGTTTGTTTTATTTGAGATAAATTTTATTAAGTCTTTGATAACTGTTAGGGTAGTAGTTGTCCTGATAAAAAAAAAAATATATGGTTTTTAAATATACCATTTTCAACTAAAATAGAATCATAGAAAAGATTGTTTCTATTTTGAATGACTGCATTGATTGGTTATTTTTATGTTCAAGCAAAATTCTTCTGAGCAAAAAAATTATTAGCACAAAAGATGTTTATATAAGCCAGATCAATCAATGTTTAAACTCTTTCCTATATATCATTAAATCAAAAGTTTTCTGATAATAGTGAAAAACTGTTTAAAAAAAATTGTTAAGTACTATGGTAAAGTAGGTTGACCCTTGTTATCAAACTTTAAAAAAAATTTCTTGGGTAGGTGTGTTAATTCATCTCCCAAATTTTCAGAAAAAGAGCATCAACCAGTGATATTCATGTGTTTCTTGTGTTCATTTATTAATGCAAATGAGATATTTATATTTTATTGTTTCATCAATATCAATGTGTTTTATACATTCTTCAATTATGCTTAGTATTTCTGATGGATTATTTTTAATCTTCTAACATTATTTAATATGTAGCCTTAATGTGTGGCCTTATATAATAATTCCTTATTAAATGAAATTACGTTAAAGATTGTATTTATTGTTTCTAAAAAATTAGGCGTGAAACTCTTCTAATTTTTGGAAGAATTTCTGACTTATTATTTAATTCTCATTTATATATAAAGCTTAACTTGTTGAACTGTCAATGTGCACTTTAGTTTTTTTTTTTTTAATTTTTCTTTTTGTGCAGAATACTTTCACAGGTATTGTCATATACTTTGACAGGTATTTTCAGCCTTTTTGTTTTTATTCCTTTTTGTTTACTCCTGTCTGTAAAATATTTGTTGATTAAATATTGTCTATCTTAGACTAGATACAAGTTTTTAATAATTTTGTTTGTTTATTTTTTAAAATAGCTATTATTGTTAAGGGTTTTTTTTCTGTTTCTTGCCATTTTTATTTCACCTCTAAAAATATTGATTGATTATATTGTGTTTACTCTAATAATTTATGATACAGAAAATACTATTAGAGAATAGATTATTATATTTTACTTGTATAGTTTATTCTTAAGAATATTTATTACTTTTTATTTGCATTAATTAGTTTTTATTTTATTAATTAAATTATATCAGATGCTTTTTATGCTTTTTTAATTTACTAATTAAGATTTTACTTAAGCTAATGTGATGCAAGCCAATCTGATGATGATTTTACTGATGCAATCTCTAGACCTTTGCTAATTATTTCAGCTGCTAAACATTTTTCTGGAGTAAGATTCAATCATTGTGAAACTAAATATCACATGAGTTTGGCATATAATAGTTAAATAAAGAAAATGAATATTCTTCTTTTATCAGCCATGCATTCTAAGAGCATCAAGTGTGGTATCTGTTGAAGTGTTTTCAATTTTGCTATGCGGTACAATATTTATCATTTATGCAGAATAGAATTTAATTTTAAAATTAGTACTTATTTATCGGAAACAGAGAAGCTAAATATACATTAAATCTCATATTAGTAAAAATATCTTGTAATCTTAACTATCCACCAATGTACCGTGCCTGCTCAAGAATTATTTTAGTCCTTCATTTTTGTAGATATATAAGTTACTGTAGAGTACAATTTTATCTTTTCATGATTTTTGTAACGCTAAGTATAGCAAAAAATAGTAAGTGTATTAAAAGTAAAATTTAATAAACTATCAAATTATAGTTGTTATATCAAAAATAAATCAATTTAAGAGCCATTTTGTTAAAAAAAGAAATAACTAATTTTTATTGTGAAATCTAGCTAAAAAATATCGCAATCGAAATATTTTTTGGGTTGCAAATATTTTTCGATTCTTAAAAACTTATAATTAAATTTTTACCCATTCCAAAAATAGTTCCTGTAATCTGGTTTTCGGATAAAGGGTTCTCTACTCTGAAAATTATATCACTCAGAAAATAAGTTTATTAATTTTTGGTATTAAGTTTTAGTTTATCAATAAAATTTAATCAGTTTATAGTATCAATTAAATGTGTCTAAAAGGAAGACTATAAATATATTTTTATAGTTGATTTCTTTTTTAACAAGTAGTTTGGCTCGTGTACTAAAAAATGTAAAATGATTTTCTGGTTTTCTTTTTGGACAACTACTAGGCCTATATTTGTGTGAATCTATGTGAAGTCAGCAAAATGAGGAATTCATTTCATTATTTGACTTAAACAGCTAAAGTAGCTAATAATTTATAAACTAACTATGCAACAATTTGAAGCCTTGCTGTTGTTAAAAAGAGCATGTAAAACAAAATGTTGATTCCATATAGAAAAATGTATCTTTTTTTTATTTTGAAATTAAAGTTAAAAATTTATTAATTCTGTCTCTTACTGGTAATTACCTTTTCTATTATCTTAGTTTATTAATCAAATTGTGTTTTAAATTAACTGTCTAAAATATGTTATTAAACAAAGATTAGTATTATTCAAGTTTAATACTTTTGACCAACTTGCTAGTTTAATTTTCTGAGTACAAAATTTTGCGATACAACTAGTCGATTTTGTTAATCCCAATGTAATCATTTTAATTGTGCAAGTTAAGAATATCTGGCTTTACATAAATGTCATTATTGTAGTTGTTCCGAATTTTGAAGTTTAAAATTACAGTTAGACATCGTCCAAAAAATTTGCACTAGAGTCACTCGGGATAATCGAAACATCAGATCAAATCAAACAAATTAAAGGAAGGAGGATTACAAGTTTACCACCTGTAACCTAATTAAAATTAACATCATAGAAAGCTGTTTCCATGCAACTTCATTGTCAAGAATTGGCTCTGTGTTTTCTCACATCATCAACAAGCTTTATTTATTATATAAGATTAGAAAAAATAGTTTCAAAAGAAAAATTATACCAATGTGTAATAGATTAAAACAGCAGCTGTAGGACTTTTAAAAACACATAGAATTCTGTTTCAGGGCAGATTTTAAACATTCAGAAATATAATATTAGATACAAATAAATAATTATAGTGAAATATCCTTTCTTATTTATTGAACAGTAAAATAAAATAAATGTAACATTGATTTGAACTAAACATTCAAAAGTTTCACATTGTGCTCAACAATTCATTTATTTTACAACTATTGGCATACATATATACTTGTATATATACTGCCATGCAATTCAAAAAAAATCTTAAGCGCTTTGGGCAACTATATTCGTTCTATTGCTTACACTTTGAACGTTAAAATAGAATTTCAAAAAACTAATAAAATTTATTTTCGAAACTTTTTTTTTTTTTGCAATAAGTAGCTTGCCATACAATTTTGACAAATCTCAATTTTGAATTTTTCGTGCAATTGATTTTTCAATTGCACGGCAGTATAGGAAACTACTTGTGTTAAAGATTTATAAGTATGAAGACAAATACATAATGAGTTATACACACAACTGCACATATTTTGTCCACATCTCAGTAAAAAATGTATGTTGCATTACCAACTTTTGAACTGGTACATTCAAATTTCTCAACTATGCAAAATGATCTTCACATTTATGGTTACAATTTGAACACTGGTTTATAGCACATCTTTGATCTGCTATTAACTCTTTTGGTTAATGTTTTAAAAACAGATATACACATACTATTAAAACTGTTTCAAAAATTCTTAGTATCTGCTAAAGGAATAATTTCCTTTGGATGAAGAGAGTAAGTGAACAAGTGACTATATTTAATTTCCATATCATTTATGAATTAAAAAACTTTAAACATTGCAAAATTTACATATTTAATGCTCGCATGGAAAGATTCAATTTTTAGATTTTAGAAACCTTTTTGTTTAATAGTTAGATAATATAAACTATTTAAATTAGATTCCATATATCTTCAGAAATAATAAATAGAAAGCTTCATAATTACTTCATACCCTATAGTGAAAAGTCAGGATCAAAATAGGTAAGAAAGGGCAGACAAAAAGAAAACAATTGGGGCTGAATGAAGGAAATATTTAAAAAAATAAAAGATATTTGCTTATAATAGCTGTTAGTTTTGTTTTTCTAAAAATACAAATAAAATAATAAATGCAATAAAATGATAAAGCTAACATTTACACAAGATATATCCACACAAAAAAATATATTTCTATAATAAGTTAATATTTTAGTTGTTTGCACAATCTGTATTAAATAAAGTGCATAGACTATGTACATTCAACATAACACAATTTCTCATAAATATAAATAAATAAATTGCAATAAAGAAAAAAATTTTTGTCCAAGCAGTAAAATGTACCAGCTTTATTAAAAAATATCAAATTAGTATAAATGTGCTAAAATAAAATTGCTGCACTTTCAAATTAATTGAGCTATTTTATTTATTTTTTTATTCGTTCAAATGAAAAGTTACCTTCTTTTAAACAAAATTATTTCAAGAACGAAGTTTTAGGAAAAAATATTGGATTTTTACTTTATCTGCAGCTTACCTGTTAATGTAAATGAGTAATTTAATAATTACAATGCTATATCAACAAATATTAAAGAATTTGAAATATTTTTGTAATAACTTTTATCTCATTTATTTAAATATAAGAAAATTAGCATTTAATTGTTAACCTTAAACAGTGTGCTATTTAAAATATCAAAAATAATGTTTACACTTTTACATAAGCGAAAAATATTTGAGGTTTTTCTAATTATCAAAAGTTTGCTAATCCTGAAATAGAATACTTATCAAAAAAAAAAAATGTTTATAACAAGTTTCTAGGAAGTAAACTACTGACAGATTTTGATTATTATTATTTAAAGAATTATGTGGGTAAGCTAAGGGGCAAATTTGAGTAGAGCATGCAACAATGTAACTGTTTTAGTTACAAGTTAACCTTAAATAGTGTGCTATTTAAAATATCAAAAATAATGTTTACACTTTTACATAAGAGAAAAATATTTGAGGTTTTTTATAGTTTTTCTAATTATCAAAAGTTTGCTAATCCTGAAATAGATTTAAGAATACTTATCAAAAAAAATGTTAGTAGCAAAATATAGTAGCTTTTTCTTTACTGTTTTGCATATGAAACACAACTGCAAGTTTAAATGAGCAAAGACTATTTACAGATTACAATAGTATTAAATTACTTTAATTTTAACTCACAGAACAAGGAAGGTAAACTAAGACACACAGCTTCATCAAAGTGAATTTCTCCCCATACTTTAAACAAATCTTGTTGTGAAGATTCTGGAATAGAATCGAGGGATATGTGTTTTAAAGTTTTCAATTTCAGAACATCAGAAAGTATTGCAACATTTTTAATATCCCATCGGCAGGTACCAGTTATTATTACATCAACTAACTGATTATTTTTGAAAAAACCACTTTTTAGAAAAATACAAATGGCTTTTGCTGATAAACTTGGATTTAGGGAAATATTTAAAAGCTGTAAGTCAGGACAATGTAAATATTTTGAAAGCATGCTTAAATCAGTATCTCTTAAATGGCATCCTTCTAAAATGAGTTCTTTCAAAGAACAAAATTCACAACACAGAAATTTACTTATCTGCAATCCCATTTTTACAGGTTCACTGGACGTATGAGAAAGATTAAGCTTTTTCAAATTCTTCATAGGTAAGCAAGAGAAAATTTTAGCCACTCCCTCATAGCCTAAATTGTTGCCAGAAATATTCAGCTCTTCTAGTTTTTCACAAGTTTTTAATGATGCACACACTTTTGAATTTTCAAATAAGTGGGAATCCAGATTGCAGGAATTCAGACAAATTGTTGTTAAAGATGGCAATCGTAATATAGAAACTAAATAATCACTACACTTTGAAGAAAGCAAATTATTTCCTAAATCCAAAATTTCCAATTTAGGAAGTTTCTTAGAATATTCTTTTTCTTGAGTAAGATAATTAGACATTTTTTTCACAGATTCGAAGGTTAAGCAACAGCAGTTGATCTTCAATATTATAAGATTTACAAATGATGGAAAACAAGAGATTAGATGATCAAAGCCCGAATCTGTTAGCATAACTCTACTTACATTTAAACATTGTAATTTAGAACAGTGGGATATAGCAGAAAATAACAAATTAATATGCAAAGGAGGTATCAAACAATTGGGAAGTTTGATTTCTTTATCACATTTGGAAAGCTCTTTTGTGATATCATTCAGCGGAACTGATTTGTGTTTTTTGCACACCTGTACATAACTCTCTTCCATAGACTGCTCAACCCAAGACTCTACAAAGGCTGTTACTTCTTCATTATTAACAAAGAGATTTTTTACTATGTCTGAATCACCAAGCAATGCTCCTAACTTTGTTAATCTCAAAACAGGTTCATTTGCAAATATATCACGATATCGTTGTGCTGCCTGCTCAGCTAAATCTCGAACACATGTATTTTCCTCTAAAATGGGTACAAATATTAGTTTATCACATATTTTAACTCTCAAATTAAATGGAAGATTAGAATTCCCATTTAAATTTCTATCTGAATTGTTATGTAAAGTCTCATGTTGGACAACTTTTTGCTCTCTATGTTCAGATTGTTGATTACTAGAGAAATCTTCCATTGGAAAATCTCCAAAATCAGAAATTAAATCATTTGATAGATTATCCTTAGTTTTTGAATATTGAGTGACAGATTTACTTTTTGAAACATTTAAACTAAACGTTTTTCTCTTTTTAGCCTTTGGCTGATTACTAGTGTCGTCAATTAACCACTCGTCTACAATATCCTCTTCATTTACTAGAGCAGGATGAACTATAGTTTTCGCTTCGGACAGAATTTTTTTGGAAATAGTTACTGCACTTCTACGTAAACTAGAAATCACACTTTTATATTCAGAAGCTCCCTCTTGGGGGTCACTTGATTCATAGGCTCTTTTTAAGGTTTTACTTTTTCTAGGAGATGGTGGGTCACAAATTTTCTCATCCTCATCAGATAAATCATCTTCAGAACTTGTACTAGGAGACTGAGATTGCTTATCTGACAACCTAGAATGTTGACTGACTGGTAAACCATAAAAATCTGGAATTACATCAGTTTTTTCACAAGAATATGCATCTTTGATTTTTACATCTTGCCCAGCTTGTTTCATTTTACTTTTCAGTTGTTCCTCAATACTATCACACTGTTTCAAAGAAACTTTATCCAAATGTGCATCATTACGCTTCCACTCTAAAAGGAGATCTAAGGCTGACCTGCCATCATCACTTAAAATCGTTGGGCATGCACCCCTAGACAACAGCAACTGTACTACATTTAGGTGACCATTACGACAGGCATCATGTAATGGTGTTATGCCACCACATTCCGTTCCACTTCTAGGATTAATACTGGCTCTTTTTTCCAAGAGATATTCAACAACCGCATAGTGGCCATAATTACAAGCTTCATGTAAAGGAGTCCAGCCACCATTATCTGTTGCATTCACATTTACTCCACTTTCAAGAAGCATTTTAGCATATGTTAGGTCTCCCTCAATGCATGCTTTATGTAAAGGAGTCTCTCCCTTCTCATTTGTTTTGTTTGTCAGTTTTTTACGTTGTCTTTGACGTCGTGGATAGAGTTTACTGTTTGTTTCCTCCTCCTCTTTTTCAGATTCACTAATAATCACATTGTCAAATGGATTTTCAGAAGCCTCTGCTTCACATTCTTCGTCACTTGAGAGATCATCATATTTTGGGTTCTGCAATTTAACTTTTATGTCTTCTAATTTCTCCAACATTGAATTTTTTTCATAAAAATATGCTAATCTTTCTAATGCTTTGAGAAAAAGTCTATCGATACCAGCAGCTTCAACTAAAGATGCTGCCTTGACTAATAATTTTTCACAATTAGATATTTCTTGTTTCTCTTCATATAATTCAGCCATTTTCCATAATGTTTTAACTTGCTCCTGAGGCTTATTTTCATTACACTGAAGGTCCATATTAAAATATTCAATAGCCTTGTCATTTTCCTCTAAATCATAATATGTTTCAGCGATTGAAAAATATATAGGAGCTTTTTCAATTTCAGCACAGTTCAACTCTTCCAGACATTTTAGGGTTTTTTGATAATAATGTAGAGCTTGCTTGTGACACTCCAAACTAGATAAGCCATCAGCTATCTTTTCGAATAACTGTTTTCTTTCACGGCACTCATCAGAATCTTCAAGTTCTTTTAAGGTGATACATAAACCTGTACAAGTTTTTAACCATCTCTCTACTTTTTCATGTTCATCCTTGTTAGGATAACATATTTTATAAGCTTTTTTATAACACTGTTTTGCACCCTCAAAATCATGCAAAGATAACAATACGTTAGCTTTTAAAACGAGAGCATCGCATAATAGAGTTTTGTTATGAAGTCTTTCTGCTGTTTCAATTGCTCCATCAAGAAGCTTCAATGACTGACTATATTGCTCATGTTTACGATAAACATCACCAAGAGTATACTGGCATCTGTTGAGGTCTTCATATAAATCATATTTAGAAGCCAAATAAATGGCAAGACGAATATGCTCAGCACATTTAGTCAAATTATGCTCTTCAAATAAAAGACCAACATTCAATAGAATACGTGACTTTGCTTGTGCAAACTCTTGGGCAGTAAGTTCAGATCTAGTTTTTTCCAACAATCGTAGAGCACACATATATGCTTTTTCTGAAAGATCACGTGTCTTTTTAACAATTTCTGGATCAGTTTCATTTTTATACTTCATATAATATGTTCTTCCTAATGTAGCCCACGCTCGCTGTTCTTCTACAACTGATTTGATAGATTTACTCAGATTCAGAAAAAAATTCACGTGATGTAAAGCTTTTTTAAAATTGCTGAGTGCAGCGTAACACTCGCCTATTTTTCTGTGGGCAACTGCCATGCCCAAAGCATCTTGAATCATTTTGTTAAATTCAAGTTCTTCCTGGTGGCTTCTAAGAGCTTCTTCAAAACTACCCTCATCAAAAAGAGTAGCGCCAATGCAGTTGCTATACTCGCCAGCCTCTTTCCATTTCCCCTGTGCGACAGCTTTATTTTTTTCTCTTTCTAATTGTTTTATTTCATTCATGATGAAATAGAGTAGAAACAAATGATGAATGAAGAACTATGAGTACATGTTTTAGCTACCAGCTACATGATTTGCAGGCATAAGTTGATGATTTGCTAGAATCATAAGAAAGGTTTCTCATCTTAAATCTCAGATTCCTGTGAAAGAAGAAAAAAAGTGAAATATTATAAATACAAAATCAGTAGAAATATCCAGTTTTCTTTTAAAGAGTCAGACAGGATCAGACATTTGATTTTGTTCAAATTTCCAGTGTATGTACTTTATGCAAAACTAAGTTTCTTTATTTCCATATAACAAATTTTATTCTTTAGACATTTCTTTCTAGACATTATTTCTGATTCAAAAATTTTATTCTAGCTTTGGGGGTCGAAGTGAAGATCCTCCAAAATTTTCAGCAGCAATACTTTTTATGAAAAGCAGCACTGACTATTACGTTGCGTTCTACTACTTCACTAACTAATAAGACAAATACTCACAGTGGATTTACAAAGATCAAAGGTAATTTAAATAGCATAAAAATAAGACTTTTTTCAGATTTTGAACCTCAAATTCTTCTTATGCTAATAATGAACCACAAAGGCATACATTTCTGTGAACACATACTAATGAGTAATGCGTAAAAATAAAAAATCAACATAGGTATGGTGTACATTTGGCACAAGACCATAAAGCTGACCTTAAAGCAGCAAGAAAATGAAATTTTGCTTTCAAGTCCTTTGCTTTAAATGCCTTTACCAAATCTAGACAATTATGAAATTTGCTGAAAAAGAAGCCTTAAGTATGTATGGGTGTTTCTCACGAAATACGGCAGTCTTTTGCTCCAAAATCTAATACTACTATACAAATAAAAGAACTTTTTTTTTTTTAAAAAAAATCATAAATAGCATTGCTGTTAGCAATTTAAAATGACTTTGAAATTTCCATTGACTGTTTTGTATATTTAAAAAATTAATTGAATTTCAAAATGTCATTTTCCTGGTATGTCACAATCAATATTTTTGATAACAAGCTTCAAAACTTCCCATAAATTTTTCAATATCTAATTATTTTTATCTCAACTGTTGTAAGCATTTCTAGAATATATGCAGAGGGTATTATTTCCAAAAACTTCGTTGAAAATAATTTTTTCGGTCAATAATTTGTTTGTCACATGAAAACCAGCCATTTTTCTGGCCACTTTTTTTTAAATACTTTATTACCAAAATAGATAGAGCCTGTAATCAGTATCTCGGGTTAAGAGATTGATAAGAATACCATCCCATCAGAACATGTTTTATTTTCGGAATACAGAACAAATTTTCCGATTTAAAATCTATTTCAAAAACTTTTACAAGGTGAGTAGGTTTTTATGTTGTCATTTTCCTGTCTTCTTGAAATCATTAATAGCATTAACTACATAGATTTACTGGAGTTATTTCAAGAAATCCTGTTCCCTGGGGAAAGTAAACGTCATAGGCCGAAATGATTAATAAAAGTAAAGTTGAATGCTGTAAAATGGCAAAGTGTCATTTTCCTGACTTATGAATGCCAGTTACCAGAAATTTCTTTTTAACAGTATAATGTAAAGAGGGAATGCAAATAATAACCTAATACCCAGTTTATGTAAGATTGTAATATGCTTGTATGTAATCAAAGTTATTTATTTGCTTAGTTATTGATTATTATACATAATTTTATTCTGTACATATCAACAAAAAAAACATTTTTGATTCTTTCTAAAGTGGATAAAAGAATTAATTTAAACAATTCATGGTTCATCCAACGCAAAGGCTTTAGGTTGTTTTTTTTTCTTCAAAACACAGTTAAAATTTATAGGATAAGCTAAGAACATCAGTGCACAATTTAATTCTGTCATATTCTCTTCATATCATATGTCATATTCATATTTCTATTAAAAACAAAGCACTTTTAATAGAATTTCTTAATTAAATTTAATTTTTTTATAGTACCTGTATAACTCGAAACCTCTTTATCTCGTATTTTTCGCCTTTCTGGTGAGATTCGAGATAAACAGGTTCAACTGTATTTTAAATTTAAATAATATAATTTTAAAAAATTCCGATTTAAATTATAAAATTAATTTTACTAGGTTATTTTAAAACATGGGGTCTAAAAACAATCAAGGAAAAATAAATTGAGGAAGAAAAAAAAATAACAAGAAGCCGAGAAGAAACAATATGTTCAAATTGTTCACGATAATTATTTTTGGAATTTATTTACATAAAAAATTAAAATTAACTTTTCAACTTCGTCTTTTTGAGTTTCTTAAGTTGAGTTACTTACTAATAGCTTAAAATGACTGTTTTTCTTTTTTTTTTTTTCCTTCAGCAAATGTCAATAAACTACACTGCTGTCTGTAAGATATTAATAAATGTTACTAAATAAATATACAAAAAAAAGACTATTGAAGACTATAAATTTGAAGAAATTTTTTTTATGAATTGTCATGTTTCCAAAGAATCGCCCATATAGCAGAAACAAAATTCCCAGATCTATGATCACTTATTCAACTTTATTGCCCTAAGCCTGTACCTGCATAATTGAATACAGAAATAGTTATGAATATAGCTGTAAGTTGTTTTTAAAAATGTGATTTAGACAAAATAAGTATCTGAAGTTAACACCCTCCACAAGGTGAGCTTTATTCTCGATCTAGAATTTATCGTGGAGGATGAGTAAAACATCCTTCTAACTATCTATGCAAGTTATATAATGTCCCAAATGAAATGTAATTTTTCAGGGTTGCCATTCAAATCTGTAAAAAAAATCCCCCGTGTTTCCCCTGTACATACTATACACAATATATTAGAGGAAACAACAATTACTGTGCTCTTGTGTGAGATATGTTGGGTTAACTATATTTATTAGTTTTAATTTCTGGATAAACAGCTGAACATAATGTTATAGTAAATGAAATAGTTTAGTATAGCTGAAATATCATGGTTAAATATCCCATAGATTACGCTTTGAGTGGTCACCATTTTTTAAAAGACAAAAATAAAAAATACCTGCATTTTCCCTGTTGTTTTAGGTGATTTTTAAATTGCCTGTATTTTCCAGGTTTTTCCTGTTCTCCCTGTGGAGTGGCAACCCTGTTTTTTAAGTTGAATCCAATGAATTCACACACAAATCGATGCATCTAATAATTAAAAAGTTACTTAAGTTTATATAGAAACAGATAAAATTCTAACTCAGAACTAACTAGGCAAATGAGGTATTGATCTCAATTTATCCATAGGAAAAATTTAGTTCTCTAACAGTCAAAAAATGAATGCAAAAAATTATAGAACAGAATTTTTTATACACAAATGTTTTATAACTTTTAAACAGTTAGTGATCTGAATTGCTGCTATTGATTACTTCAAAAATACATTGAAATCAATACTTCACTTGCCCGAAGAGCAATGCCAGACACATAATATGTACGAGTCACAATTTGCTCTATTTCTAAATAAAAATTAAATAATTTCCTAACTATTAGATGCATCGACTTGGGGGCGGATTTCCTTGGATTCAGCATTAAAAATTACATTGAAAACATACTTCACTTGCCTGGTAGATAGCATCGAGTATGTTTTGGCCTGTTTGCTCCTTCATCCACTTTAAACTCAATATAAAAAATAAAGCTCAACTTGATGAAAGGTGAACTTCATTCATTTATATTGTGTCTAAATCACATTTTTTTTAAAAACAATTTTCAGCTTTTCAATAACCATTTCTATATTCAATTACTCAGTCACTGGCCTCAAAGTTTAGGACTATATAATAAAAGTTGAATCTGTAACCATAGATCTGTGAATTGATTTTGTCAAAGGCTGTTAATGACCTTGAAATTTGTGCAATACAATGAATATTAGAGTAGAAAAGATAATTGCTTTTGAAGATGACAGTTGTATGGCTCATTGATTTTCTAAACAAGAAATATAAAAGTATCCTAGAAAGATTACAGGTGTGTTTCTCATTTTGTTGCTTTTAAGTGTGCAATGATTTGACATGGAATGTTCTAGATAGTTAACACAGACTGCATCATGTTGATATTTGTTTTGACCTATCAAGAATATATAAGATATTATTAGAAAAGTGTAAATGTAATGCTTAATTAAACTCATTTTTTTTATCCCCAATTTTTATACTTTCTTAGATTATTATTTTTGTTTTGGGTGAATAGCATTTGCAATGGAAAATTAAGGATATTATTCAAAAGCTTGATTGTTCAAAATATTTAAAAAAAAATCTCATAAAAATTTAAAACTGTTACTCACTAACTTAAGGGTGGGGTCACTTAGAAAATTTTTTGTTCCTCAGTAGAAATGTTAAATTATGGGGGGAAAAACTTACATTCCTAACTTTATTGGCATAAAATTAAAATAAAATAAAATTTAAAAAAAACTGAAAATCATGGTTCTAAAAAACAGAGAGTGTAGCCAAATTTTTCAACAAAAAATAAGCACCTTTTAAGCACTCAAAAAATATTTTTAAGCACTTTGAAAAAATATCATAATTAGACAGGGTTGGCAAGTTTTTGATATTTGATGGTTTTATTTGCTTGCCAGAGACGATGTCGAGTCACTAATGATGAAACTAACAAGAGAAATGAAATTTTCTATCGCTAATAGAGAAAAAAAATTTACAATGTCTAGTTGGTCCCCATAATGAACAAAATTTAGAGATTTTTCGATTGTATTACAGAGGGCGGAAAATGAAATCTGAAATTGAGAATCTCTTGCAAAATACAGCAGAGTTGCACATGAGAGACAAAAATCCTTACCACTGAATCCAGCTCAGTATACGTAAGTGCGGACCAGCAAGTATTTCATCAAACATGTAAAACGAATGGTGTTCTCATACACTACAGACCGACGGCACGCCGAAATAGATTTCGGTTAAATAAATTGTGAAAACGTTGAATAGGACTATGTCTTTTTGCATAATTTGTGGCGAAAATCAACATGGTAAAGAAAAATATCAAATTTCGGAAAAAAGAAAATTAAGCAATTTTTAAAAACACCCATGTAAAAAAGCACCTTTAAGGGCTTTTAAAAAATGAAAATCGAAAATAAACACCTTTAAGCACTTTTTAAAAACGCTACTCACCCTGAAAAAGCTATAATTATTTGGAAGGGGATCAAGGGGAAAACTCCCCTCAGGAGAATGAGAATTTAAAAAAAGAGATGGAAACTCACATGAGTGTTATTTTAAATTTAAATTGATGAATTGTTAAAGGTAAAAAGGCTTTAAATGGAAGAAAATATTCCCTTCACGGGTAGGAATCTTACAGCATGCCACTAGATCTCATAAGAGAAGCAGAAAATTTCAAATCTCTAACAATTATTTGCCTAGATTTTTCTGTTGAAGTTCTGAGGTAAGAAATCATTCCAGCTATAAAGTCATTTTTTTACTCATGGTCATAATTGTTAGATTAATTACCTTCTTACAGTCAAATTGAAGATACAGATTTTGAAGTAAATTTTCAGTAGTTTTCAGATATGCTAGGTGTGCGTCATTATTTTATCTACTTATCATTTATGTCAGGATGTTCTTAAATGAAAAAAAAAAGTATTGTTTACATACAATTATAAAATTTACTCTTTGATATTTTGAAATTATTTTATTTACTAATGATTAAAAAAAAGTTGAATAATAAGATATAACATTTTGTTTTTCTACAAATTTTAACATGCCAAAATACAAAGCATGAACGAAATATTAAAAAAAAAAATTCATAATTGTTCAAATGTAAATACACTGTCTTTTTCAGATGTATACGGTGACTTATTCAAAAGTTTCTTACTTAATTATGTGAATTCACGGCTATATATTTATTATAAGTATGAGTATATTTATTCCACTCAGCTGAAAGTAAATTTTCTGGCTTTTTTTTCCGCCTCTATTCATAATTAGTTTTCGGGGATTGTTTTAAATAGAGTGGTCTTGAAGTACCATGGAAAAATTAATGAATACAGGTAAGATTGCTTCAATCACCCATAATATTGGCGTGACAATAAACTGTCAAATTTCCATACATTCTGATTTCTATAACATTTCCGAAATATCCGTTCCTGATATTTTGCTCAAAAATACAACTGATTTTTATAAATTTCGCATTTTCCAGGATAGATAGCAAAAGGTTTGTGATAACATGGATATATATATCATTGATTAATACAAAAATTATTTAATTTAATTTTTTCTGAATGGAATTTCCCCCACAGATTTCACGTTGAAGAAAACCTTTAGAAGAGACTATTAAAACCTCTCTCAGCGGCCAGGCAAACATATGCATCAAATGAGGAAAAGGCCAAATAAGGAAACACGAATTTCGAAACAAAAAATTTAACATAACAAATAAGTAGATTAAAATGTATTCAAAATATTTGTGTGAGATTCTTATTTAGAGAGCTCCTCTTTTTGACGATATAACCTCACATTTCAGTCAGAGTGCACGAAAGATGATACTATCAACGATTTAATTTTAGATTTGAAAGTTAAATTAGAAAAAAACATTATTTTAGAACAATCAAGCAACTCAAACAGACAAACCTTGTCTTCTCTTTTAAAGCTAACTAATTTTTATAGTACAAAATTCAATGCAAACTAAAACAAAAACGTACTTGTTTATTTACTTAAAATAGCTTAATAATAATTGGCTAATTTTTTTACACGTCAGTTGGGTTCAAGGGCGCTGGCAGAATATGAAAGGGGGTGCAACCCTCTAACAAACTACCTCCCCCCCCCCAAAAAAAAAATTTTTTTTTAAATATTCCGTTATTACATTTTGTTTTGTTATTACATATACTTTCATTTGTTAATTTTTTTCAATATACATTTCTTCATTGTTAACAAGATATTTAAAAAAAAGTACGAATTTGTTGCACTTGCAAATTTTGCCACAAGAAACAGTATTGATGGCGCTGGCATAGCTACTGACTTTGAAACCCAAATAACTACAAACAGTAGTTTCGTATACTAAAGTGTCTGTGCAAGCTTAACATTGGTATTAATTGTGTTGATGAAGTTTTACAGTTGTGAGAAGTCAGTTTGTGTTATACACCTTTGTTAAACTAAATAACTAATAGAAATTATTTATATTTCATTAAATGAAATTTAAAAATATAGCTTAGATATCAGCCAAGTTTGAGCATGCTCAGTGTACATAAGAAAAGAATCAAAGATGACTCAGAATTCATTGAAAAAGTTATTAACAGATTTGGACAGCAAATAAAACGATTACAATTCTTGTTTGATTAAACAATTTTTTAATTGTTATGTATCAATAATTACTTAATTATTTGTTTTTGAATAAAAATATTTTTAATAAAAAAAATTTTATAACAAAACTGTTTTTCTGTATCTCTTTAATTGTTTTCTAAAAAAAAAAGTCAGGGGGGTGCAAGTGCACCCTTTTATTTAGACCATTTTATTGCAGAATGGAGAGTGGTCGCTCCCGAGAGGTTACCTGTGTATATTCTGTCCGGAGGTTAGATTGAGTGACGATTATATACATATACATGAAAATGAATCAATCTAATTCATCACATGATAGTAAGTTAATTCATATTTCAACAGCTTCTGAAATTTAAATGTTTTCTGAATGAAGCTTTTTTTGAAGCTTCAGAAACAATTGATATTTGTTTCTTCCAATTGATAGTTTATTGGAAAAGCCCAACATTATTTAATATTTTTGACATATTATTAGATTCATTTTGATGTTCAAGAGCAATCTCTTAATATTAATGGTAATTATTGGCAAAAGTTTTTACCCGGTCACAATATAAACTCCACCTAGTATCATTTGGTCATTAGGGCATCAAGCAGTTTTTTTTCATTTGCCCATTCATGTGCTTAATGCACATTTCTAAAATATTTGTTAACTTCGAGATGTGTCCACTGATAGTATTAAGATATACGTCTTTTTCAATCAAATTTTTAAAAAAAACAATTTGTGAAAAAAAACCACCAAGTGGGTTTTTTCAAGGTGGGCCCACCCAATAAAACCAGGGTGGGTTTTTTAAAGTGGGCCCGCTTGGTGAACCCTGAATCAATCAAAATATGTACAAACTAATGATACCTTTTAGTTACTGGACAGAAAACTAGTGACTAAATTTTGTAGTAAACATGATTCCTTGATGCTGGGAAAGATAAGATTTGTTATAGAGTTCCAAATTAGCATCTGGAAAGGAAAATATTAGAGAAATAATCAGTCAGTCCAAACTAAGCATTACTTAGCAAGCATTATGAATAATTACATTATGAAAATATATAGGAAAACCATAAAACAATAAGTAAAAGTTCAGGCATGAACAGCAAACATAAAGAATGGCTAGTACTGTTTTCACAGTCTGAAAAATCAAAAAGCCTGGTCTTTATAGCTTTTTTTATAATATTAAATTTACATTTCTACTTCTTACTTCATTAAATGCATCACAATAATAAGAAAGGGACATCTCCATGTCAGCACTTATTGTATCAACTACAATTGTCTAGAAGACAGAAGGATTTTAAATTTGCAAAAATTGATAAAATATATGTAGAAGTTTGTATGGGGGTAGCAACAAGTTCTACTCTTTAAGCTGGACCTCTTCTGTAATGTTTCTCACAGGCCATAGCCTGGAAGTCACCAGCTATTGGTGATTATTTTGAAGCACGTTTTGATATGGTGGGGATCTCAAGAAATATACCATAGTAACGTAATTACAAAATAATTTACAGTGTACATACCATTGTCTTTACTTTTAGTGATTAGTAAGATATAATTAAAATAATCTTAAGGCAAGCGCTAGTTTTAGATAATGGATAGTCACAAATAACCCGATAAATATGTACTTGTGGCATAACTACCACTATAAATATTAAATACCAAATCACTAGTATATAAGACATGTTAACTTGATTCTATCTTGAGGTACCTCTTGATAGAAGATGGTTGACATAGTCATTAATTAATTCCTTTAATGGTGAGATGATGACTGGTTCACATTAAAACAGTTGATTTGCTTAATATATATATGCTCAAAAAAAAAAAAAAATAAATAAATAAATCTGGTGAAGTAAATAAAAAGTCTCCTGGTAGTGTTTTCACTACAGCGCGAGAATCTCGCTCATTTTTTTCTTTTCTCGCATTAAAAAATTATTAAAGCGAGAAGATAGCACATTCTATTAATCAATTTCAAAATGAGCGAATTTTGTAAAAAAATTCGTCTTTTGCCATTTTGAATAAAATTCGTTTCACTTTTCTTCCTTGATCTTTCATTATTTTCAACATGGATCCCTGTTATCTAGATTCCCTATTTACCAGTATTGTTCAGAACCAGGGTTGGCAGGTTTTTGACATGTGACAGTTTAAACCATGGTTTAAACCGTTACGTCAAAAACCTCACTGTCAAAAATGTCGAAAATGTCAAAAACCTATATTCATATGTGAAATTTAATTATCAAAATGAAAATATATATTTTTTATAAAGGATAGTGTTTCTAAATATGTTCTAGAAAAAATAAATTTAAAATTTTGAAGAAACACTTATATTTTGAATAGTAACCAAAATCTTGTACTTTTGAAAGCTCACATCTTTTGTAATATTATGTATTCATTTTCATGTGTTATTGAAAATCTGCAGTGATATTATTAAGAAATTTATTTATAACCAAATTTAGTGTATAGTATAGATTATACTAAAAATTAGACATTTTTAAAGATAAACATTAGCAGTTTTGTACATTAGACATCTTTTAAAGAAAAATCTTTTTAATATTCTTTTAAATCTTCTTAATAATCTTTTTAACATAAGACAATACAAATTTAAGTGCTTTCTGTTAAATACACAGAGTAGTTAGTGTCGATTTACAGTATATTCAGCCTATTCATTTACTATGCTGAAAATTTAGTTTATCCAAATACTTGTGAATTTCATTTTGCTGAATACTATATAGTTTTGTTGAATATCTAAATATTCAGCTGTTGAATAATTACTTCTTGCTTTCAAGATATGCATTATTTGTATTCTTAATACAAGTGGAGAAAAAAAAATTAAGAGATAAAAATTGTTTTAAAATGATAAGTGTAATAATTATAAATAAATATAATAAACAATATGAATTATATTTATCATTATTCACAAATATAACTACTTTTAAATTCAAATTAACATACTGGATAATAAAGATATTCGGTATAACATTAAAAAAAATTTTTTATACACTTGTATCTTATATCAAGTTTGTATTTATACAACATAACTTGTAAGTTCCTTATAAATATTAGTTATATGTTCCTTATATGTCAAAAATGCATAGTAATAAACTTTTAATTTTCTTAAGTATCAAAAAAAAAATTTTTTTTTTTAAAATATAAATATTTAAAAAATTTTTGTGCAAAATTTTTCTGCACATGCATTTGAATATAAATTTCTGAGATTTTAAATCTGTTATTTTACCTTAATTTTAATTAAAAAATATTTTAAAACCTGCTGATTACCTATAGTATAATTAAATTTCAATATAATGCATGGCAACTGTTGGTAGTTTTGAAGTTTATATATTTTTTTGGCAAACTTTAGTTTTTGACATTTTTGACGGGTTTTTGACGGTTTAAACCAGTATTATACTCTTGTCATGTCAAAAACCACTTTTCGACGTCAAAAACCCAACCCTGTTCAGAACCGGTGCGAACACAATGCCCCCCCCCCCGAATGACGGAACACCTTTCAGACCACATTTTTCTGCAACCACGTGTTCACGGAAGGTAAGATTTCTTCACATAAGACGTTAAAATTTTTTTCAATGCTACAAATTTACTAAGCGATTTTGAATTGTTCAGCATCTGTTGCAAGGTCATTTAGCAATCACAGGGGTCTGTCTAGGTTTTTCTTAAAAGTACCTATTTTGTGAAAATTTTGACATAATTTGTGAAAAATTAAAAATTATATTAAAAAGTCAACACTAAAACATGGTAAAAATATAGATTTATCCTTTCTTAAGGGAGACAAAAATAAAATTTTAAGAGAAAGTATTTTGTGAAAATACCGTTTTTCCTAAAGTTGAATTTGTGAAACTACCGTTAATTTGTGAAGGTACCGCTAAACGGTAGTAAATTCGGCCTGGACAGAGCCCTGAATCAAAACCGAATTAAGACAAAATATTGTATACAAATGACTGATAAACATTTGAGCAACCTAATGAGAAAAGCTGATGAAAAGTAGATATAGATCGTTTTCTGTACGATGATGCAGCAAAAATATTCAATGCTTCAAAAATTAATAAAGATGTTAAAAATTTATTATAATTAAATAAATTTTTTTTTCCAAGTCTATTGGTGTTTCTTTAATTTTTAGAAATCTCACTTAACTTTTTGAGATCTCACCCTGTTTTTGAGAAAGGGTGAGAAATACTCTCATTTTTTTTTTCTGTAATAAAAACACTGCCTGGTCAATAAACAAAACTGAAGCGGGAAAAAATTAGCGAATTGCTATGAACAAAAATAAGAAAAAATAATGAGCAAAAAATGCTATAAGAAAAATGAAGACAGCATATAATGAGCGAAAATGATATAAAAATTTATTAACAGCATGAATCAACTAGTGGTAATCATTCATTGATATCCCAGATAAAATTCTGGAAGGGGAGTAATGTGGCATAACTACCACTATAAATATTAAATACCAAATCACTAGTATATAAGACATGTTAACTTAATTCTATCTTGAGGAACCTTTTGATAGATGAAGGTTGACACAGTCAATAATTGAATCCCCACATACTGATGTGGAAATATCTCCTTACATTTCATTGGATATATTATTGACTTTGCCACGAAAAAAGTTCGCTACTACTAAAGAATTAAGATAACTTTTTTAAATTTTTATCTACTTATGACCTATTTATAAGCAAAACTGTAAATCATGTTGCTAATAAACTAAATACTGAAATATAATAGTAATTTAATAGGAAATTTAAATCAATCGAAATAAATGAATGGCCTCAAAAACAATATAGCAAATAATAAAAAATGCACAAATACAACTAGCAGAGGTTGATAAAGGGGGGGAAATGCACAATCAAAATTCAAACAAATAACTTACAAAGTCTTCTAAATAATAAACGATTTTATTATTTAGAACATTCCTCAAAGCAAAATATTCTCATTAATGAAATATGCAACCAGAATAGATATAAAGGGGGATATTTCTTATTGTAGTCCCTGGTTACCAGTAAAAGTATTACAAATTCGGCGCAATTTTTAAAGAACGAAAAGATAAACAAATACAAAAGTAGTAGTAGTATAAATGTGCTTGTAGCTTTCATGGCAGAAAAGAGATGAAATTGAAGACGCGTTATCGTTTTAGTGGGAAAAGGATTGTTGATCGAAATGGGCTACAGATGGCGTAGAAGAGAACTCTCTACCTATGGAACCTATGGTTATGGAACTCTACCTACCTAGGAAACTATGTGGAATTGAAAGCTTCAATGAACAGAATTAAAAAAGAATGCGTCGATTTTTTTAGTGTCGGTTGTGTTCATAAGTTATGAGAAAGACAAAGCCACTTGGCCGAGATGCTTTCGAAAATTAACTGTGGAAGAATCAAATATCGAACATAGGTACTGGGTACTTTATTAACGACACTAGAGCTACTCTTTACGCTATCACGACTTTCTGGAATGATGATCCGAAAGAGGAGGATCCGAAGACATACCATCGCAATTTTGATCCTCTGCAAAACAGAAAGCTTTGACAACCCGATGACCTGCGCGAAGTCAAGGACTTTACGGCAGAACAATTTAATGAGGACCGATACCAGTCGGACATTGGAGTAGAATATGGTTGATAGTTTCGAATTCCCTAGATCTTCGTTTGTTGGTTTGTGACAGACCAAACCTAAACAGCTTGGCGAGGGTCTCTGCTTAAGCTTGGATGATCAGGTCCTGACACGACAGACAATTATATCTTGGTATCTCGAGGAAAAGATTAGGTGAAGGCGATAATCATAGTACCTATACAGCACAATTCATCCTGCAGACGTCCAAAATTCGTCCACATGATCCATTAGATGTCGTGGAAGTCCCGCAGTGAACGGATTGTTAAGGCACGATTCCCAGCAGATCACCGAAGTCAAGCATCACTGGCTGCTGTCAGTGTGCGGGTGGGTGACCACTTGTATTAGTCTGCGTAGGGACCGAGGGTGTACGGTATTGACTGTTCTACCGTAAAGTACAAAACATTTCAATTGAAATGTTTTGTGAGTTTATGTTTTTATTCATTAAATCAAATAGTCAATTCATAAAAATCATCATATAAGCCATTTTTACTGATTTATCTCAAAATATAAATCATTCTTTTTATGTTCATATTATTAACTAAGAAAGAAGTCATACTTTTCTTTAAAAAAATGTAAATGCTGATTTACAACAAAACACATTACAAAAACACGCTTTAAAAAAAGAATTCGATTAAAAAATCTAACATTTGTTGGGGCGATTTTCTTATTAGCTAAGTAGTTAGATGTCTAAAAAAATTTATAAATCAGCTAATTAGATTTCCTTAAAGTTTTATATGTATAAAAAAAAATTCAAAAAGAATCGTGCGCATTTGCTTAAGTATAGCTGAAAAGTTTTAAAAAAAAATTGTTAAAAAATTGTTCAATACATTATGTTTAAATAGTTAAAATCATTAGAGTATCTTACAATTCAAAACTTTAATTTTTTCGAGGAAAATTAAATAAAATTATAAAAAATAATAAATAAATAAAAATCATTTTTTGCGTGTGATTATCTTTTAATACATTAATTTTATAATTGAGTGCAAAAACATTTCATTACGCTTAAAAAATTCTTCAGATATGGTGAAATACGCAAAAAGTAAGATTCACATTAAGGGATCCAAATTTTGAACAGTCCTTCTGACCAAATTATTAGGAATACATTTTCCAGATTATGACTGCTCCCATAGTTTGAGGATAAGGAATCCAAATACATCGAAAAAAAGTTTATTACGAGAAATTACGTTTTTGTGTCTGATTTCGTAACTTAAATTATCGTCTACACTAATTAATTAGAAGATTTGTGGTCATCCCCTCAAGTCTTTTAGATAGTGTCCTAAAACGTATCTATAAACTCCTGTTTGTGAAAATTCAACACCATGAAGGAATCGTCATAATTAAATGAAATTTAATACACAGTTGAGTGGTAGTGGTACAAATAAATGATTAAACTTTTAAAGCAAGCAAACAATAACAAGAGATCGAAATCAGTATTTCGTGTAGCCACCACGCTCCGCAATAAGTGCTGCCACACGGCGTGGCATGGAGTCAAGCAAACTTTGAATGTGTGTCTGAGGAAGAGAATTCCATACTACTTGTATGCGTACCCAAAGTTCGTCTGTAGAAGCAACAGGGCGAAGATTACGAGCGAGAAGCCGACCAACGAAATCCCACACATGTTCAATCGGCGACAAATCCGGGGAATACAAGGAAGAAGATGTACCTGTCGCGATGCAAGGAAGGATTGAACAGTCCTAGCAATATGAGGGCGGGCATTGTCCTGTTGAAATACAGCACCTGGCAAGGCTTGAAGGAAGGGAACAACTTGGGGATGTAGAACTTCACTGATGTACCGGTTGCTGTTCAGATTACCCACAATTCGTAACAATTGAAATCTTCCATGATATGCTATAGCACCCCTGACCATAACTTCGAGTGTTCGTCCACTGTGGCGTTCGATAACGCACTCCGGAAGATGGTGTTCACCGACATAGCGTCTGACACGAATGCGGCCATCATGGTACCACAAATTAAAGCGAGATTCGTCAGAAAACACGACACGCTGCCAATCAGCACGCGAGTCCCTATACTGGTTGGCCCATTGCAGCCGCAGGCGGCAAAGGTTCAGCGTGAGGGGGATCCTGTATAAAGAAGTCCTTGCGCGCAGTCCACGCTGCAGCAGACGCCTACGAATTGATAAAGCACACAATGACCTGTAGCTATTGACCACCGTGCTGCCAGTTGTCTAGAAGGAGCCGTACGGTCCGTTAGCGCAACGCCGAACAGGTGTCTATCATCGCGAGCTGACGCGACATTTCGGGGTCCACTCCTGAATTTCCGAGTTGTCCGACACTCGTCCATCCACTGCTTTCAAACACGCATCACTGTGCTGCTGTTATGCTGCACACAAGCGGCTACTGCACGATAAGATAATCCAGCTTCACAAAGGCCGATGATTCTCTCCCGCTTAAACTCCGTAAGTTGTTGAAATCTTGCTCTCTTTCGTCGAATAGGCATAAGTAATGACTAAGCTAACGTTTACCACTAGCAGATAACCACCGATAACCATACTCGCTTGGCTACAGCCGTCTATTTATTCGGATCCATCCACCGTTCAGAGGGCGCTGCTCAGCATACGCATGCGCTACGGGTCTGAAATTCTAATTATTTGCATATCATGCTCTACTTTGCATTTCCTGAAAATTTCAGATCACTCGCGTAAGTCCTTCATGGTGTTGCAATTTTCACAAACATGAGTTTATATACGTAATCTTTTGCCCCCCGGTTCGTTTCAACCACCAGTATTTGTTTTAAAAAAGTCTATGTTTTCTGGGGTAGTGGATGGCTGTAGCTGCTCCGATAGCTCATCGTTTTTTTTTTTTTTTAATTTAGAAAATTTCTTTTCTGAAAGGTAGGAATTGAGTTTTGCTTTTGCAGGACTGTTTCTTTTGTTTGCTTTTCATTACTAAGTACTACGTAAAAGCTAATACTACTACGTACGTGAATTTGTCGCAAAAAACAACGCCCCTTATATGTCGTTGCTTTAGCGAATTGAATTCGTCTGACATAGAGAATAAAAAATAATAATTAAATATGAAAGTACGTGTAATAAACTTCTTTTGATCAAATAGAGCTTTAAGCAAGCAAATATCACTGATGATATCTGTAAAATATTTGAAAATTGAATAGTCCATAAATAAATTTAAAACAATGGTTAAGGCTTAAACAATCAGAAAGTTCCATTTCATTTTTCTCTCATCCCGCTCGAACGTTTTGTCGTAGAATGTTCCAATGTCGACTGTAACCTTACTCGTGTCTGAACTATCTGTTCCCAAATTGCATCACTTTCGGTCGGACGGTTTAGGATTCTATTTTTCTATTGGATACTATTTTTTTAATAAAATACTTCATATTTTTTTTATTGGAAATTCAAATTTTAATGAAGTTTAGAAACAAAATCATCTTAGTTATATATGAGCTCTATAACTTGAGTTATTTTCATTGAATTTTAAAAGCAAAGAGGAATAAATACATTTTTGAATCATAATTTTTTAAAGAAAAATCGAGTAAGTTAAATATTTCTATTTACACAGTCACAAATCTATATTCAGTAGTGTTAGCTAGTGGTAAAACTAGAATTTTAAAAGGGGAAAATCCGATCACTAGATTAAAAGTTTGTAAAATGTTCCATTTTAAAATTGCGTATTCCGTTTTAAAATTGTGTTACAAAATCATGTAAAGAGAGGGGTGGAAACTGATTTTTTGAAAATTCCAATTCGGATTTTTAAAAAATTGTTGAACTCGGATTAAATAAAGTGTAAGATTCACACTAATTTGTAACCATCCATTCACTCAACGTTGTTGTATTAAAATAAACAACATACACGATAAAGACTTCTGGTGATATCATTTTTCGATTGAGTCGGAATTAGTTTTTTGATGGATTATGATAGCTCAAATGTGTAGTACAAGTTAGATAAGTTAAGTTATTGCCCTTTAACCACATCTAAAATATACAAATAGGAAGAAAAAAATTATCCGGTGCAAACCGCAAATGAGGATCATTGGTCTGATTAATCAAATCAGTACATAAATTTGATTAATGTCAGATTTAAAACAAAGTGCACATTTTACTTTACCAAGTATCAATGGTGCTTTTGTTTGAAAATAATTTAGACTGACAGTGAAAAAAATAGCGTTTGATGTTTATTTTTCATTTCTAATGAGTTTCTGTTTTCCCGAAAAGCTAAAGGATTCAAACATTCTATATTGACATGAACTAAGAACAATAAGGGATAGTTTGCTCGCTCCAGTTACCAACCTCTGGAACTGTTTCCACAGCTCCTTTCGGATTGCTTCCAATTCGAGCTCGTTTATTGGATACTTCTGGATTTTTGTCTCGCGTTGCATTTTGCTTTGTATCTTTTTAGAATTAATTTCTAAGATTAAACAACATATACATTCTGTGAAATCATTGATTATAAATAATTCATTTTTATTATATCATTATCACTATTTGATTTGTATATACTTCAAT